AACTCGTTTTTTTTCCGACAACCAATTTTTCCGGAAATTTTGAATCACTAGGCAATGATTTATTTATTTATTGAAACAAGTTTCAAACCATGGTCCCTTAAGATCTATTTTAACATATATTGGTTTAGAAGAGGCTCACTAGTATCGTTATTTTTGACCGACAGGTTTCAGAGGGTCGTTTACGATGACTACGATGGTTAGAATAAGAGTCCCTGAAGGAAGCATTCCCGGTATAGTACATGTACGTCAACTTCCTAAATTCGTTAACGACGTTCTAAACTCCGACTTGGACAATCTCTTAAAAATTTGCGAAAGACGCCGTGTTCAAATAAATCCATCCAAACCTGAAGCCTTGTTATTTGTAATAATAATATTCCATTGGGGAATAGTACAATTACGTGTGAGACTTTAACACTACCACATTTAAACTTTGCTGATTCGATATATTGATAATTTCTGTTGACATAAAAGGATACAAAAAGTCCAAAATTCTTATATAAGGTTAATATTCGCAGAGATAAAGAGTTTTCTACAGGCTTGAAGAGTTGGGACGGCTGTCCATGGTTCAGCGACGTGCTTTGCATTCGGTATGTCTGTATTACAAAATAATTGAGTCAAAATCTTGATGCGGAACGAACACATCGTTACGAATGTTGACAACATTTGTTAACTTTATCTGTCCATAAAAAAACAATTTTTCAAATACAAAATAAATGATTTTACTATTGGCTCATCCAAAAGACACACGAAACGCAAATTTTTGACACGTTTATAATTAGCACGGTATTTTAACGACGGTTCAATAATTAAAGAAGCATTTTGCTTTTTGTTTTCCTTTCCTGTAGCCAAGACTTCTTTCTTTCTTCATTCTTTTCTTTTTCTTTGTATAATGTGATTCTTCTATACCGCTCTCTACATAAGGTAAAGTTCGGTTATTGTATTGAAGGCGAATATGAAATGTTGTTATATGTATTATTTCTTGGTTATAAGTTTAGTTGACTTCAACAGCTACGTCGACGTCCATTATTCCTTGTTATAGCTTTATATAACTTGGCATGTACAAAATATAATTTCGAATAATAAACATTATTAACGCCTGCTTAAATTTTAAGTGCGGACACGTGACATCGACGCGCTGTGAAGATGCCAAGTGATATTTTGGAGAAACGTCAGGCGAATGATCCTACTCCAGGGTCAAGCAACGAACGGATGAACACCCGGATTACCACCAATACACATAGTTCCATCCGTGAAGGACTAAAACAAAACATATATATATATATATATATATATATATATATATATATATATATATATATATATATATATATATATATATATATATATATATATATATATATATATATATATATATATATATATATATATATATATATATATATATATATATATATATATATATATATATATATATATATATATATATATATATATATATATATATATATATATATATATATATATATATATATATATATATATATATATATATATATATATATATATATATATATATATATTTCTTATGTTCTAATTCGCCTGATTTAGAATCTTCTTCCTGTCATTTCTAATGACTTGTTTTTTATAAAGTTTGACTTAGGTGAGTAATTCCGACTCAGGAACTTACCATTATAGTATAACTTCATTTTTATTTTTAATGTTTTTTAAGCGTTTTTCAAAGCAATAATTAGAATTGTAGAGGCCTTAATTTTTAAATATACGGTATCGGTTGCCCATATTAAACACAATGTTTTAGTTTCAGTTCTATTTTAATTTATTTGTCCCAAATTTCAGGAATTTGACAGCCCTTCATCTTGAATAATTTCTTAAGACTCTAAAATTAGCAAATGGCAAATTTTTCAACAGTTAGTTCAATATTTTGGTATAACTTACAGTTGAAGCTTGCGACGAGTTCTCATACCATGTCAAAAGTGTTCATGTATGATTCTATTAACGCGTTTTAATGGACAAGCATCATAAAAAAGACGTATTTTAAGCTGCCATAAAATAACACTACTGTCGAGTGTTTCGAATGTAGGTATTACTCGTAGAAAGAATATGTTACATCGTATATTCAAGTGCTTAAATTTTTTAATTAATATTTTTTCTAATAACTAAAATATGGAAATTCATTTTTCTCGTTGTACGCCTATGGCCTCAGCTCGTTTAATAAACTTGTGATATTTTTGATGACAAATTTTGATTTTTCTGATACTGTCCAGTGAATAATATATTAATAGTTAAAAAATCCAAATAATTCTTATGTAATGTACATTCTACATGCAGATTTAAACATCCTGTTTTATATATTTTTCAAGTTTCCCCCGAAGCGACCCTTGAAGCGGAAATATGTATCCTCAAAATAACCTTAAAATAACATTTAGTTTTAATCAAGTCATCAACCAGCAAAATATAAATTTTAAACGATACGATGATAGGTCAATTTCGCAAAGACTTTTTTTATGAATTTGTTTATGTTCAGTTTCCAGTAAAAGCTAAAAATAATTTGATATAAAGACTTTTTTTAATATTTGAAATCCAAAGGCAACTTCGATTCATCAACATAATATTAGCATTACTACGTAAGCAACTTTCTCTAAGTTTGAGTCGATTGAGAGAGAGACGATAGACGATAGACCTATCTTTCTGTTATAACTAACTTCGACCTAAACAAGGTCGAAGCAGGAAAATGCATTTTACAAAGCATTACAAATTTGTTCTTCCAATCGATATGCACTTATGATTTGAATTTATTTTCATTGTTTTTAAACCTAGACATTATGTTATCAGCAGTGAAGAACATATGCAATGATTAAAGATTCAACAAAGATCAGTATTCAAAAATGCTCCATTTTAAAAAATTAGGGCCACTTATCACAAACCCGCTTTACCAATTTTGATAAAAGTTGGGATGTTTGTCGTAAGGGGGAGTTAGAGAGCTGAGATTAATTTCAGTGGTGTTCCTTAATAAAATTACTATAAGTATTTTTTCTTCTCGGCCCTTTGTTACGTTCCAGTAGGATTGTCCGACGCCTTACCAACCGAGCCATCCTCGTTCCCCGTGCTTATTATTATTGTTATTATTACTCTACTGTTATTTTTAGGTTCTGAGACCTTAAAAGAAATAAAGGTCATCATATCCGTTACTTTTTCAAAAATCACAGTTAGGTTGGTATTGCGAATAAATTAATTACTTTAACTAAGGGAACCTTCTAATGCCTGTCCTCTAGTTTTCAGTAAAACAGGTATGAAAAAAATCTTTAGGTTAATATTAAAACATACAAACTTTTATAAAAGTGTAGTTCAATCCAAAATCTTAACTGCAGGCCAGTTTTCAATACGATAGGGCTTAAATTCTCTTATGGAAATTTACATGTACAAATGGCGCAATTTACTATGGGATTGCCAACTATTTTATTACAAATGTTTGACAGAACATTAATCGAAAAACTAACGCACCGACCATAAAATCGAACTCCGTGGCTAACGCGGCGGACGAGTTCGTGCTACGCCGCTGCCGCTACCGCGGACGGGTACCACGCAAGCCTACCTGAAGAAATTGACATTTCCTTTGACGGTACTTGGCCCTATAATTAGCATGGTTATTAAATATACATCAAAAAGCTCATTTTCTCTAGATCCGACCGCGTTCGAATTTGACCGCGGCGATGACAAAGGCGATTCTTAAGTACACTGTGCGCGCTCGCCGACACTTTTTAATCCCATTTTCACGAACGGAACTGATTTGAATCGCGTTATTTTTAAATATGCGCCGATCCGCTCGAAACCCGTTTCTCACACAATTAACCAGGTGCCGGTGAAACAAAAGACGAGTAATTCCGGCAGGTTCTTTTTTTTTATTTCAACAACTGCTACCTAATATCGATGTTTACCGAATAACATATAAGTTGTCCCACTTGAAGCCACGCCCGCGACTATGTACCTCCTTCCCCGCGCCGTTGTTACTGGGCCTGAGAAGCAGAATCCGTAGACCAGTAAAAGACGGCTAGTAATGGAAATATTTTATTATTTATTTTTTTCTATTATTCTAAATAATAATAATGTCAACAACAAATAAATTATTCAGTACTGTAGCAATATTTATTGCTTGTTTGTACAGGGTGGCCCGTACCTACGGAGGTTATAACAAACAATTAAATACAAAAGTTGTTTCTATTAAAATGACTTTTATTTTTTATTTTCCTAATCGTTACTTCTTTATATACAGAGCTGTAAAACAAAGTTACATTTTATTGCATTTTTAGATAGTCCTTCCAAAGGCAAAATTAGCGATCATCTTCAGAATTCGGGTTATGTTTAAACTATCATTCCTAGGTTGCTTTTACTAACTTTACTTTTTTCCATCTATCATTTTTGCGAAAATAATGGCTTTTCTGTAGATAAAATTTATTTTTTTTAAATATGCTATCTTGTCACCTTTCGCAAAATAATACTTTTCTCAATTTTCTTAAATGAGACACTCCGTATATCATTGGATTTTCGAATAGCTACTTTAATAGCAATGTCAATTATGTAACATAGTACTACACCACTCAAAATGATACACACAATTGAAAATTACATTTAATTTTTCAAAAAAACTATAGCCTACTGTAATACTACTTCCAAATCTTCTCGATTCTTCCTAAGTTGGTTTTTGATGAATCAAACTTACTCACATTTCAATAATCATCCCGCCCACATTTTCTTAACCATTTAAAATTTACAATGACATGTCTTAAAATTGAATTATAAGCAAATAATTTCCCATTCTTAGATATTCTTATTAATAAACCAAAGAATTTGTACAGCAAACAAATCACTTTAAAAGATGTCTGTTACTATGTTAAATCTAACAAGCTCAATTCTTTTAAAACCCGGGAACATGTAAATGTAATGGAAAGTGTATTCTGTAAACTTTGCTAATATTAGGCAGGACCAGAGTCATACTCTAACCCTTGGTCAAAAATAATTTCCAGGTTGAGCCAGAAGGTACCTCTGAACTACCGGCAGCCAGCAGATCCATATTCCTGGAAAAGGTATACCCTAAAAATCCACCAATTAATCGAAACATCCTGCAACGCCAATTGCTTTGCAGGTTAGACAATCTAATGCGGCATGTCAGAACGGTGACTTTGCCACAGCCGTTTCACTATACACGGACGCTCTCCAACTAGACCCGACCAATCACATTCTCTACTCCAACCGATCGGCTGCCAGGTTAAAGCAAGGCTTGTTCACCCAAGCTCTTCAAGATGCCATTACCGCCAGGGATTTATGTCCCACGTGGCCTAAGGCATACTATAGGTAAATCTGCATATTTAAATTCTTTTTTTGGAAAACATTCCCCAAAAGTCCCCAGATATCTTCGACATAATTTTTTTAAACTTCCCTGTTTTGCATATAATACGTAAACTCCATTTTAACGATTCTGGATGCCATAAGCGATATTGGTTGCTGAAACAAAAAATATTCAATATATATTTTTGTATGGCTTTTGTGCAAAAACAAAAAACGAAAAAAAGTATATTTTGTTAAAGTATTTTATAATATGATTATGACATAAAGGTCATCCATAGCGGCTATAATGATTATGATGAAAAACCACTTTTATGTAGTTGTAAAGATACAAAAAAATAAAACAAATTACAACATAATTTTTCCAAAGTATATGCTATAAACTTTACTCAAAAAATGTAACTACAAAAGTTGAAGCGATTATCCTGAACTGTCAGGATTTCTTGTCATATTAAATAAATGAATATAAGTAAAAAAGAAAAATCAAAAGTGAATTTTTAATATCAAATATTGTAATAAGAATTGCTAGGGCGGCGAAGATAAAGAACTGGAAAATATAGCTAACAAATTAATTATAACCCTAACTACTTCTAGAAAGTAGTGAAGAAAATCATCAGGATTAAAACATGTCATATTATGGTACCAGTTTTGGGACCCAATTTTATCAATGTTCATTATGAATCGAATTGTTTCTAGAATATTTTCCCCAAAATTTGTGATGAATTGCGTTCTATATTCAATTAGTTAACTTGATAGGGAATAATTTCTGTTAAATAGTAGACCGTAAGTAGTACATTAGTCAACAAATTTGATAAACACTATTTTGTGTATTTCGATGCATAATGCACTAAAGCTACTAAAACTAAGCTTATAGAGCTGAACAAATATTTTTTTGTGTAGCTTAATTTTTTACAAAATCATTCACAAGTAACCAGCTGCCTTTTTGTGTATGTGTTGGTTAGTTCTATTTCGAGAAAAAACTATTCAAAAATTGTACTTTTTTCAATTGTGAACTGTAGAATCGTTCAAAACAGTTTGCACTCTTCTATCTTACAAATGCATCGAAAACCGACTTGAAGCCGCAGAGTATCACTTTAGGGTAACAATAATTTAAACATGGGCTTCTCTTTTTATAAAAAATCTAAAAATTCACAAAAGTACTATTTAATATTAATTTAATGTCCTGAAATTCTACGAAATGCGTTCGTCCCGAAATGCCCAAAATACTCTTAAGCTTTAAAAAATACCTGAAAATTCCTATGACGTTGAATACCGAATACTAAAATACCCCGATGACCGACCCTTCCTCTGAAACCTATTTGTATTTAAAAAAAAAATGCGTTTTAGGCAAGGCGTGGCCCTTCAATGTTTGGGCCGGCACGGCGAGGCTTTGGCTGCCTTCAGCCAGGGCCTCGCCCAGGACGCCAATTCGCAGCAGCTTTTGGCCGGTTTGGTCGAAGCTTCCGTCAAGTCTCCGTTGAGACACAGCTTGGAGCCGACATTTCAGCAGCTCGAGCTGATGAAGCTGGACCAGAGCCCATTCGTCTTGATATCCGTGGTCGGCCAGGTAAGTCTGTTCACCCTGTACGCAGCGCACGGCATATAAAAATTATACGACGCTTTAATAAGGCAGTACTCGGATGTGCCGCCATTTTAGTGCCCATTCTACTGTCATATACTTTTACAATGCGAAAGCTCCTTATGCGAGACTCAAATGCCATTGTTTTAACGATTGGCGGCTCATTTACCTGTCCTTTACATTGTTGGGAATTTTTAGCAGATTAGTCAGTAGGTATGTCTGTACTTAATTCAATCGTCCCGCGTCGTTGTCCCTTTTTATGACGAACATAAAATCTAATCGTCTTTATTTAATTTAATATCTCCCAGCGTTTCCGACAGATTCGTCATCCACTATAAATTAAAATAATTTAAGATGAGGGAGCGATAGCAACATATTTTCATAAAGAACTTTGCTGTCACTTGAGGTAGTCAAGGGATCCTTAAGGTCATGTTTTACCATGCACAGATGTTTTTGTGAGTAAAAGTAGTGGATCCATCAGCACATGTGTATGGGGGATAATGTCTAAGTTATCTAAGTTATCAGTCAAACGAATTTGAAGTAACGAATAGTTGCACAGTTAGGATTTCACAAATGTCACCATTCTCCTAAAAGCCGACACCTTGGGAGCTGCCCATTGAGCCTTTGTTCATTTCGTTTTGATAGGTTGAACCACCACCATTTTTGGATATTTTAAAATATCTAAATGTAATAATCGTTAAGGAATGTAATATTCAAACAATGAAATATAATTTTAAGTACAGAAAATTTGTACATAAGTGTTGTATAGTATTAAGTTAAATAAGAACAATGAAAGTTCGCAGTTCTTTTAGTTCCATTTAAAACAGCATGAAATCCGATGACTTTGACTTTGTACACCGTTGCAGGAACTTTTAGCGGCAGGACTGTACCATTCAGCGGTAACGGTTTTGGAATCTGCATTGCGAATTGGATCGTGTTCCCTTAAATTAAGGGGTTCAGTCTTCAGTGCGCTCAGCTCCGCCCACTGGGCATTGAATCAACTGGACAAAGCTATAGGTTACATGCAGCAAGATTTGGCAATTGCCAAAAGCTTGGGAGACACCGCCGGAGAATGCAGAGCTCACGGCAATTTGGGGTCAGCGTACTTCAGCCAAGGCTCCTACAAAGAAGCGTTAACCGCCCACAGATACCAGCTTGTTTTAGCTATGAAGTGCAAGGTACATTTTCTGTACTTTTGTATCACTGAGACAAGTATATTACATTTTAGGACACCCAAGCGGCTGCGGCAGCATTAACATCGCTCGGTCATGTTTATACGGCCATAGGGGACTACCCCAACGCTCTAGCCTCTCACAAACAGTGCGTCCAGTTGGTGAAACAGATGGGAGACAAGCTTCAAGAGGCTAGAGAAATTGGCAACGTTGGTGCCGTATATTTGGCAATGGGTGACTTTGACTCGGCGGTTGATTGTCACACCCAACACCTTAGGATAGCTAGACGGCTCGGTAATCAAGTAGAGGAAGCCAGAGCTTATAGCAACCTGGGCTCTAGCCACCACTACAAACGAAACTTCACCCAAGCGATAGTGTTTCACGAAAAAGTCCTGAGGATTGCTCAAGCGATTGGGGATAAGTATGTAGAAAAGACCTTTTTTTGATTCTTTGAACGTCCAAGATTAATTGTTATAGGTCGGTAGAAGCTAGAGCGTACGCGGGCCTAGGCCACGCCTCCAGATGCGCAGGAGACTATGTGCAAGCGAAACAGTGGCACGAAAGACAATTAGACGTCGCCCTAGCTACTAGGGATAAGATCGGAGAAGGTAGAGCCTGTTCCAATTTAGGAATCGTCTACCAATTGCTAGGGGAATACGACGCGGCATTGAAACTGCATCAGGCGCACTTGTCCATAGCCAGGAGTCTGCAAGACCGAGCAGGAATGGGTAGAGCTTACGGCAACATAGGCAACGCGTATTCAGCAGTAGGATTTTATGAGTCGGCTATTAAGTATCACAAACAGGAACTGACCATCAGCAAGGAAGTGCACGACAGGAGTTCCGAGGCCAGCACCCACGGGAATTTAGCTGTGGCGTATCAGGCGTTAGGAGCCCATGATATGGCCTTGTTGCACTATCGGGCTCATTTAGGGATCGCGAGAGAGCTCAAAGACACTGCCGGTGAAGCTTGCGCACTTTTAAACCTCGCTAATTGCCTAAGTTCACGTTCCGAATTTCCCGAAGCCATTCCATACTACGAGCAATACTTGATGTTGTCCCAAGAGCTTAGCGACGTTGAGGGAGAAGCAAAGGCATGTCATTTCCTGGGTTACGCTCATTATTGCATCGGTAACTTTAGGGAAGCGGTACGTTATTATGACCAAGACCTAGCGCTAGCCAAAGATTTACAAGACAAAATGAACATGGGTCGCGCCTACTGTAACCTAGGCTTGGCACATTTAGCTCTCGGTCAATTGGAAACTTCTTTGGAGTGTCAGAAATACTTCCTGGCGATCGCTCACATGACCAACAATTTATCCGGGAAGTTTAGAGCCCTGGGCAACATAGGAGACGTCCTGATCAAAATGGGGGAAACGGAAGAGGCTGTGAAAATGTACCACCGACAACTAGCGTTAGCTAGAAGCAACAGAGATAGGGGCATGGAAGCCGCAGCGTGTGGCGCTCTCGGAACAGCGCACAGACTTCTAAAAAGGCTAGATAAAGCACTGGGCTACCACACCCAAGAGCTGACTCTGCGCCAAGAAATGTCCGAACTGTCGGGAGAATGTAAAGCGCACGGTCATTTGGGAGCCGTTCATATGGCTTTGGGAAATTACACCCACGCGGTGAAATGTTATCAGGAACAATTAGAACGGGCCCAGGAACTACAAGATTGTGCAGTTGAAGCCCAGGCTTTTGGAAATCTAGGTATCGCCAGGTACAAAATTACGAAACCAAAATCTTCACTTGTACAATAAACAATTATGCAATACTTCCAGGTTGAATATGAATCATTATGAAGACGCCATAGGTTATTTCGAGCAGCAATTAGCAACCTTGGAGCGGCTGAGTACACCAACTGCGCAGCTTGACAAAGGCCGAGCTTTCGGCAGCCTAGGAGATTGCTACGACGCCCTCGGCGATCCCGAAGAGGCGTCTAAGTGTCACGAGCAATATCTGGCTATAGCCTTGAAACTAAAAAGTTCTAGAGATCAAGAAAGAGCTTACAGAGGTCTAGGCCAGTCTCAAAGGTCTCTAAGTAATCTGCAACAGGCTTTGGTGTGTTTGGAAAAAAGATTGGTCGTTTCCCACGAACTCGGCAACCCAGAAGCTAAAGCGGCTGCGTACGGAGAGTTGGGTCAGCTGCACGCAACCTTGGGCAACTTGGAACAAGCGGTATCCTGCTTGGAGCATCAAAAAAATATCGCAAGAGATCTGAGTAAGCACGTGCCCGCGCACAAAGTGCCTTTTTGTATTTAAATTCGTTTTAGATGACAAAATAATGGAATCGGAGGCTCTGTGCAATCTTGGAACTGTATATCAACAAATGGGAGAATATTCAACAGCTCTTAGATACCATCAAAATGATTTGGAGATAGCCGAACAACTGGACATGCCAACATTGCAAAGCCGAGCCTGCGGGAACATTGGTAAGCAATGAACACGCGATTAAGTAAAAGCTTATTATTTTGGTCATTTTAGGAAACGTGTTCGAGGCTCTTGGTAGCTTGGACCAAGCTATTCAATATCAAGAGCAACATTTATCTATTGCAATGAGCACGAACGACCAAATAGCCAAAACTGTGGCCTATAGTTCCTTAGGCAGAGTCCATCAACTTCTAGGGAATCGATCTCAAGCGGTAGCCTACTTAACCCAAGGTCTTTGCATCGCTGAAGCACTCGGTAGAAGGGATGAAGAGGCGAAAATAAGAAACAGATTAGGTTTGGCTCTCTACTCGAACGGTGACTTGGAAGGCGCGCAGAAACAACTTGAAGCCGCCACGCAACTTCTGGAAAGCATAAGGAGAGAGACGAGGAATAGTGCGGATTATAAGTTGTCTTTATTTGAGCTGCAGTCATCGAGTTACCAAGTGCTGCAGAGAGTCTTAGTTTGTAAGTAGATAGTTTTTATCGTAACGTAAAATGCAACGCGGTCCTTTCAGCTCTGAATAGGACGGACGAGGCGTTGGTAATTGCGGAAAGGGGTCGAAATCGAGCATTCGTAGATCTTCTTCTGGAAAGGCAGGGGTTGCACGAGCACAAAACGAAAGGCAAAAGTAAGAGCATGGATATGTTCAACATCAGCACGTTGGAGAATTTGAAAGACATCGTGAATAGGCAAAGGGCAGCCACGTTGTACTATAGCGTAGCGGCAGGTTTTCTGTACGCGTGGTTGATTCTACCATCCAAGGGTGAGTGACGATGGCGGCTTGATGCGGAGCGGAACTAACCCGACTACTTTAGGGGTTGTCAAGTTTCACTCGGCTCCGCTGATGGAATTTCAAGAATCTTCAGACACTTGTGACAACACAGACCCTATTCCCAGTGGGACCGGCGTGTTGGAAAAATTGGTCAACTCCGTTAGGGATAGTTTAGGACTTGAATTGTCGCCGTGCACTACCATCAACGAAGATCAGTCTATGGACGACAATCTATCTGAGAGGACCGGGTTTCTTCGCATGGTCAACAGGCAGCATCTAATGAACACCAGCAACTACTCATTGAGCTCTCTGTTTTCACTTGGGAGTGTTGGAGGATCTATAGCTTCCCTCCAGGGCAGCACGAGATCCAGTACAAGTGCCCAGGGATCCACTAGGGTCAGCCGGAGACAAGCTTGGAAAGGTCCTTCTTGCCTTCACGCACTATACACGTTACTGTTACAACCTTTTGAGGAGTTTTTACCAAGTAAAAGTGCGAACCATTTTGAACAATTAGCTCGGTTAGTATGTGATTATATCGTTATTGCAGCCTCAAAAAGCGGCGCCAACCGGAGGGAGTTGATCTTGGTCTTAGAAGGAGACCTCTACTTGGTACCTTTCCCAGTGCTGCGATCGTCGAACGACAATTCCGAATACCTATGCGAGAGATTCTCCTTGCTGGTAGTGCCGAATTTGATGTCGCTCAAATCTGGCAGGACCAGGAAACAGGGCACGGATCAAGCGGTTCGCAGCCTTATAGTTGGCAACCCCAAACTGCCCTTATCCATTACCGAAAACTATGGCTGGAAAGATATTCCTCAGGCCGAAAACGAAGCTACGATGGTTGCCGAATTGTTACAGACGCAAGTCTTGCTGGGAAGTTGCGCAACCAAGGAGCAAGTTTTGACGCAAATCCAAGAAGCCGAGTGTGTACACTTCGCCACCCACGTGTCTTGGAAGCTCTCCAGCCTTGTACTGAGCCCGACCGAAGTTCTTGACCAGAGCCAATCGAAACGACTTTACATCGCTGACAATGCGGATGAAGCGGAGCACAGCGAAGTATCTCTGAGTGGGGAGTTGCCACCTTTATCGGAGTTTTTGCTGAGCGCTGCCGACATATTATCAATGAAGCTGTCAGCCCGACTAATTGTAGTCAGTTCGTCACACACTAGGGATCAACAAGGTTGGGCTACCTCAGATGGTCTCGTTGCGTTGGTTCGGGCGCTCTTGGCGGCGGGAGCCCAAGCGGTATTGGTTTCGCTATGGCCCGTGCCGGATACCGCGACAAAGATCCTTTTGAGGGCTTTCTATTCGGCAATGCTTCAAGGCACCAGAGCCGCGAAGGCTCTGTCGGAAGCCATGCAAACAGTGCAACATACCAAACATTTTGCTCACCCGGCAAATTGGGCCGGATTTGTCTTGATCGGCGTGAACGTTAGGTTATCCAATAAAGTTGCCCTGATGGGGCAGGCCCTGTGCGAAATGCTTCAGGCTCCGGAAAAGTGCAGGGACGCGTTGAGGGTTACTTTGCATCTAGTCGAGAAGAGCTTGCAGAGAATACACAGAGGGCAGAAGAACGCGATGTATACGACCCAGAAGTCCATTGAAAATAAGGTAGAACCTGTAAAATGTTAAATAAATTTACGTGGTTGTGGTTCTCTCTGAAAGTGATTGTCGTTGATTTTCACTATAGGTAACAGAAACTATAATAATAAGTTATGCAACAATTTTGAGAAAGGTCACTTGGCACACAGCGCAGTGTACCGAGTGCTTAACAAAGAAGTGACTGAAGAAGTTTATCAACGTGCTGTTACGACCATTGCATATTACCCAATTTGCAATACAGTGCGAACATATTCACTGAGTAACGTGTGACGTGCGACCGCAAACTTCCGACCACTTCCAAACCGGAGAAGTGGATAAAGAAGTTGGCGTATTAAAGTCACACTTTCCGGACGTTTATTTCGTCCATAGATAACAAAGTCGCTTTCTATTTACATCCAATTAATAATTTCTATAGCGTCTACTTATTAGATTATTTATACCGGCGTTTCGGTTTCACTGAGCCGGAAACTGCCGCAGCTGGCAAGCTTGGTGCATGGACGTTTGGTATTTTGTAGTAGTAACAAACTTCATGTTGGATAGGTCGACGTGCTCTATTTATATAAATTCCGCTACTTCCAGGTCGGTTCTGCCACTGGATGGAAGGAGCTTCTGATGTCGGTGGGATTTAGATTCGAGCCTGCATCAAACGGTATACCTAGCAGCGTCTTCTTCCCCCAATCAGATCCAGATGAACGATTGACTCAGTGCTCCGCCAGCTTGCAAGCTTTGTTAGGCATATCGAGTACATCAATCCAAGCATTGTCCAAGCTAACCACCAACCCGGAAGTAGCCGACGACATCATTTCCGTGATCCAGTCCGCCCTCACTCAATTCTCTTCGAAAATTTCCGAGGCCGATAACGTGGAGGTTGCTCTAAACGTCAGACTGTGGAGAGTGCCGGGATGTCACGAACTTCTCGCCTCACTAGGTTTCGACCTCACCGACGTTGGTCAAGATAAAGTCACCCTGAGGACTGGCAAACAAGCAAACAAAAGAAATGTCCAGTTCACTTTGCAGGCTCTACTGGCTCTCTTCGGTAAGTTCGATACGAATCCTAGCCGATTCCTATTAATCGTGGAGAATTACAGATACCCAAGAAGCACCGAAAAGCCTCACGATAGACTCGTCCAGCAGCCTGGAATCTCTTGCTTCCATAGATAACGACTTCTCTCATTCCGACAACGAACTGTGTTCCACACCCAAACCTACGGTGCCGCCTTTCGCCGCGACGATGCTGCCTCAAAAGCGATTGGGTGGGGCGTTCACGTCTTACGTGAGGAGAAGGGGAGAACCCGACGGAAGGACCGCCAATCCGGCCGATGCGCCCGCCAAAACCGTCCCCGATGTAAAACCAAGGAAAGCGGCGACACTAGCTCGACCCGGTGGCGGCGAATCCGACGCCGCGTTTACACCCAGCCCACCCGTCGTGATGCAATCCGAACACCAGAATATCGCGTTGTCTTTGGCACACCAGACTAGGATAAGGTTCGTGGACTGTTAAAAACTTCGTTTGGGGTGAAGATGTTTGATTGTCGTAGGAACCTCTACTCGCAAACGGACGTTAAGGCCGACGCCGTACGACCGGACAGCTCCAGCTCAGCTAGCTCGGCCACCGACTGGGAAAGCGGTCACGCTACTGTGCTGAGACGCCAAACCCAGAGCCAAGTCGGTTACGCTACTCGAAAACGTTTCTCTCTCTTGCAACGCTTGCGTTTGTTTCAGTTGCCACCTCTACCACCACCTAGAGCTTCCAAGCCTCTGGCAGATCTCCCGCTTTACAACAATCTTCCCGCTGGGATGTTCGAGAACAGTTCGGATAGCGAGCTGGAGAAAATGGAAGCAAAATTGTTCAGTTCGAGTCAGCGGAACAAAATTACTTATAAAAAGTCGCGGAACGCTCTGTGCGCGATCGATAGGCTGAGCGTCAGGACCGAGATGACGCACGCGCAGACTCTACACGGAGCCGCTCCCAACGCGTCGCGTAAACCGATAACGTTGCCCAGCGAGGAAACCTTGCCGTCCAATGAACGGTTGTTGTACTTCTCGCCGAACGAATCGGACGCGTCGGCCACCCTCTCGTCGCTCGTTTCCATGGCGACGGGCGGCGCGGGAGGCGTGCTCAGTGAGAGTGAAGACTCCGAATTGGCCGGGATTAAGGGCGACGCGAAGGCGGGCAACTCCACCGCGTTACACGATACGATATTGGCCACGCAGCTGCGACACATCAATAGAGAACTAACGCCCACTATTTCGGAGGTGTATCACGAAAGGAATATCGGATTGGGATTGGCTCCCCCCCTGTCGAAGCTACTTTTAAACCAACCCAATAGCTCGGCGCCGAAAACTGACAGTACCGTATTGGAGAAAATTTCTTTGGGTAAGAAGGACTACGGTAACTTTTGCGAAACTTAAGTAATCAATCAATCAATCAATGCAATTTGTGAAAAACTAGTAATTTATTGGAATGATCTTCATGAAATAGAGCGTCAAATTTTTTTTCAGTTGCTTTTTGTTTCGATGTTTAAAGTTTTACTGGATTATGACGTCGCTGAAGAAAGTTTTGTAGTGGCTACTAGATTTTTTTACCAATTTTTACACGTCACTCATCCAATCTATAGAATTATTTTTGATTTGAATTATTCTCATCTGATTTGTCCATTAAATACAATAACAATTTAAAAAATCATTCTATTATTTTTTTGCATAATTCGTCAACATAAAAAATTGGTCGATTTTGTTATCCGCATTCAATAAACATCAAATCGATTACCAGCCATCGCTGGAATCATCAAACTAATCAAAATCCTGTTGACTAATTAAGTAAAAAACGGTTTTTATGGAAACTTTGTAGCTCTAAGCCGAAGCAAGTTAGGACGCTATGTTTATAGAAGAAAAAGCCTAGTTTTTAGCTAAATAATCCTGAAGGCTGGAGCCCGACATAAACATAATTTCAGGCATTCTAGACGACGAAGATATCGGAAACGAAGTAAACCATCAATGCCAGCGATGCAAGACGGAATCGTGCAGCTGTCAAAAAGGGAAAACTAGCAAGCCGTGGTTAACGGAGAGTTCGAGCTCCCTACAACAGATCCAGAGCTCGGACCTAACCACGGCGGACATTCTCGAAAGGGAGGTAAAGAACAAAAAAGGGATCAGGCTAGATCAGAGGCAGAAAGGGGCAGCAGATCCCAAGAGACTGTCGCCATTTTCCGAGATGTCGCGCAGAGACGAAGGAGATGGACGGAGCATAGCGGATTCGACGTCGTCCAGTTACAAAAACACGCAGTTTTTGACGTATCACGGGGTGGGGGACAAAACAAAATCGAAGCCTAGTGCTAAGGTTAGGACTATACCCAAACAGGGACGAAACGCCCAGAAATAAGATGCGTGGGAGGAAAAGTAAAGCAAAATAACTTCGATCGCTAAATAAGATCGTTAAAATTAGGTTACAGTGAATATTTATTAGTTATGTTGTTGGTGATGATATTTTATATTGCATGTTGTGGACATTGACAGACGCGCCGTGCATAAATGCCCAATTCCTTTCATATATGACGCTTTAAAGTGCAAAATATAGTGTAGCTATTTATTTCGCTGACCGAACTGACTTAATAAAATTGTTAATTTAAATTTGAGAGTTTTTATGGACGCTTTCCTAGTTCCCGAAGAGTTAATATTCTGTACATACATCGTCGAATATTCAAAATTTTCTTGTACCAATCCAAATACACACGAAGAATCACAAGAATTCAAATTTTCGCACCAAAAGTGCCTAAGAACCAGCGTTACCATACTACTTAAATCAATTTTTTTTAACTACTTTTTCCAACTTTGCGTGTTATGTAAGTTCATATTACAACACAATTTTTATATTTTGTTGAATTTCCTTTCCCTTGGAAATTTGGTGAATTTTGGCATGTTTTTTTGTACCTGTAAACTCTAAACTAAACGAAAATAATATTTCCGGAAATTTTTAAATTACGAGACATCAATTTCTTGTTGGTTAAATGGTAGGTAAAAAAGTGAAGGGGTATTAAAGAATAGTTGGTTTATTTTTATAATTTGTTCTTTCTGCTAATAAAAATAGAAAATGTTGTTGGTGCAAGGTTTATTCAAAAAGTTCTTGACACTGACCCTCCATTGAAAAAATATAGAACGGCACTAGCCTTTCTGCATAGAGTTTGATAGAGGTCTACGCACGTGCCAACTTGCAATATTCTGCTAAAGAATAGTATTAAAAAATGAAAAATAATTAAAATAGTTTACCGTTAAATCTTATGGACAGCATATAAAGATTTTGCTTGCAATACATAAAAAACAGTTCGTTATCCTTGTTTTACAACCAGTGTCAAAAACCTTCAACTATTTAATCTGTAATGTTCATCGCAATACACAATTTTTAAAATATCTATGTACCACCTCTGCATGAATTTCTAGACTATTTTTACATATTCAGCATATCTGTGCTATGTTTTAAAAAATAAAATAATATAAAGCAATTAAAACGTTTTTTTATCCTCTTTCACCGACATTATGAAAGTCATGCAACCAGATATATCGCTTCCTTAGTATGATGATTCGTACTTAGCGTTTCACGACCTTGTGGTGTTGGTGCGTGTTAACAATGGATTTTTTAAGAAGTAATTTATTCGATGTAAATGTCACTTCAAATGGTCGTGCGGTTGTGTCGTCAAAAACAATAAACGTCAAATCGGTAGTAGTGTAGGTAGGATTAAGGTTAGATCTTTTGTTTGTTTTCGTTAGCCCAGTTTATGGTGAATTTTGTGCGGGCGAAGTTCAGGCAATTCCGGAGGAAGACGAAAATGAGTTTTGCTTACAGCGAGCTTCCATGGGGCGTCAGGTTTTTAAACAGGGTTACCGGGATTTTCTGTTCCAAATTACATTTCAACAAGGAGTTATGGTAATAATCACTTTGCGTTTTGAACGCATTTTTATGTTAATTTTTTGCTATGGTGATTATGCGATAATGTATTTTTGCAGTTACAAGGCCAGTGTTGTATTTTTGACCTACGTGGGGTATACGTGTTATCATATGTCCAGGAAGCCCATCTCGGTAGTGAAAACTGTATTACATAGGAATTGTAGCACATTAACTCCGCCTACCGCGGACGAACCCGACAATTGGTGCGACTGGGCGCCTTTTAGTAAATATTTTTGGTTCGTATGGGTTAAATAAGGGTCACGCTGTTTCCAGATGGATCCGATGCAACCGCGTCTCAAATGTTGGGCGAACTTGATTCAGCGTTCCTCTTCTGTTATGCTATAGCGATGTTTGTCTCGGGATTTGTTGCAGAACGAGTGAACTTGAGATATTTTCTCGGTATCGGTATGGTAATGTCTGGCATTTTTAGTTACCTATTTGGTATTGGCAAGACTTACGACATTCACAACTTGTGGTATTATGTGGTCGTACAGGTTGGGATTAAGCTTTATATACACTTAACCATGTGGAATGAGAGTGATTTTTTAGGCTTTAGCTGGTATTTTCCAAACCACCGGCTGGCCGGGGGTGGTAACAGTCATGAGTAATTGGTTTGGTAAGAGCAAGCGGGGCCTAATATTTGGTTTGTGGAATTCCCATACAAGTATAGGGAATATACTAGGTATGTCCTAATGTGAAAAATAAATCTATTACAACAACATGCTTAATAAAATTTGTGAAAAAATTTGTGAACAAAGGTAAGAACTGCAGGATCATTTATCCTATACCACTGTGTTTACAGAAAAAAATAATATAAAAATAACGATATTTATGAAGCTTAAATCTAAACAAAAACCTGCAAAAAGTTCATTTTACCCACACAGGTGGGTAAAATGACACAACACAAATGGGTATAATTTCACAAACAAAAACTTTGGTCTTTTTGTCCACACCTGCGCATTCAGCATGGGCCCAGTTTTTACAGGTGGAGCATTTTAATCAAATTTCTCCAGGTTTTGACATTCTATATTGCTCAGTGCATTAGATGCATGAACAGTCATCTTCTTCATCGTTTGCCAAAGGGTCTTGTTCTCCAGAGTCACTTTCGATTTGTATTTATTTGGTTACTGTCCTTTTTCTTTGTTTTTTTGCTTTGCTCCTTCTATGTTCGGTGTACAATTTAGCACCGTACTTTTGTTCCTCTTCCTTGGTTTTCTTTTTCCTTGTCCAGAGACGAACGGACCTATTGGAAGTGGGCTTAAATCAGCTACAGTTTGATTTTCAACATTTTCAGCCCTTTGTTCTATTGTTCCTGGTTTGTTTTCTGTGCTCGTACTAGGCGGATTGTTATCACTAATGGAAATATTAGTTGTTTCAGATGCTTCATACATCTACTCTGGGAAAATATCTGCATTTATGGGAAAAATTCCAGTTTTTGCAAAACCGTCAATGGCGTTTTGAACTGTTGCTGCTTTTCCATATGCTTCAGTGAGCAAAGCACCTATTTGAAATTGTGTTACCACCCTTCCCGGATGATTTTTAAGCCATAAGTAATTTCTTGATGAAAATATGTTTTCAATGGGCCAAAAAAGGAAACATACAAAGGCTGCAGTCGATGAGTGCAGTGGGGTGGTAAGCAATGAAGCACAATTCCATGTTCTTTGGCAAAAATAAGAGCATCCAAGTACTTATGGCTTGAATGGCCATCCACATCCACCTGTAGACTATTAACAAATTAAATATTTTAAGTCTATAAAAGATACAACTTATAGGGCAGACATTAATAAAACATAATTTAAATTAACCAACCTAATTTGCGAACTGTAATGATAACAAAACGCCACTAATCTGCTTTGTTTAAGAAACGTTTCTTAGCGAAATTGAGGTTAACGATCCGTCTCTTGACCTGCTAAACGGCGACTAAACGTTCGAAAATTCATGCAAACAGCAGCAAACATCACGTCGAACTTCGTTACGATTGTTTAGATCGGAAATGTTCGCAATAAGTCGGAAAACACTGCTACGTCACTTGACCCTACCATGTCGTTTTGTACACCCCAGATATTTAATTTATATAAATAAACCTCAAATGGTAATTTCTAGTGGAGTGCTACAGCAATAAAATTTGAAAAGCAAACACATGTTGTAAATATAGTAGGAGGTGAAAATCTTACAGAGCAATTTCAGGACGAACTCGACAGTATAAAGTCTCTATGTGTATTGTGATGTTAATGTTAAGGTTCACATACGTATATGTTATATTTTAGGTACTGTAATAGCGGCGAACTATGTGGAAACAGACTGGGCGTTGTCTTTTATCGTCCCTGGATTAATTATGGGGCTGGCTGGATTTATGTTGTTTTCGTTTTTGGTCGTAAACCCCGGCGACGTGGGACTCGGCACCGCCGAAATCCGGATAGACTCTGCAGTCAGTGCAACCCTCACCGAAAGGAATTTTTCCGATCTGATCGGTGCGTCTTTTTTTTTTAGAGAGTTTACAGGCCCCTAAACAGCCAAATCGCCAACGCGGGATCTCCCTCGACGTCGAGCTCGGAGGTGGACGATTCTGAAATAGTGATCGGAGACCAGGTAAAATTTGTTTAATATTTTCTGTTATTAGTGCGCCTCATCTCAATTGGGTTTTAAGTAATTAGGGTTGTGGCTTCTCTAGGAGGGCGGGTGGATGTTTTTTTTTTAGTCTTGGTTTTTGCTTGTTTGAGGTTGTTAGGTCGAATTTTACTTTCAAAAATGAAATGGGAACATAATCGCAGGAAGTGCAGCGTCGCGGTGTCTCGGAACGTTCTCGACTCCTCGGCGAATCCAGCGGCGACAGCGGCCGAAACCAGGCGATCGGTTTTGTCGGCGCCCTCCGCATACCAGGAGTCGTGGAGTTCTCCCTGTCGCTCTTCTTCTCCAAATTGGTCAGCTACACTGTCCTCTATTGGCTTCCGTTGTACGTCAGCACTTCCAGTAAGTCGTCTTTACAAGTAACGAAAACGTATCAGAATACTAGTTTTTCATTGCATTACATTTTGAATGATTTACAAAGGCAAAAAATTTTATATATAGAAGTTGGTTAATATACAGACTTCTAAGGAACAGAACGCGTTGCTAAATAAGTAGTTCAAATAAACTCTCTCAGTCAGCAGATAATAAGCACATAGCGTTAAGGTAACTGACTCTTCAATCTGTTGATTCATTCTTTTAGAATGAGTCCATACATTAGTCTTCTATTTTTCCCCAAGTAAGAAATAATGGAAGGCTGGGAGGCCTAGGAATAAATCTTACGGATCGCCACGCTGATGATTGTTTGAAGCTCATGACCAGCTCCAGCTTGTAGAGCTTCGAAGATTTGAAGACGCTTACTATAAAATCACATCTTGCCAGTAGAGTTGAATAATAAAATATCTCTGAATGTCAAAAAAAAAGCATTCAAAATTGGTGGTTCTGAGCAAAATCACTTGGCTTTGTGATGAAAAATAGTAAAAAGTATTAAATTTAATGCAATATATAATATAATACTCTAGAAAGTTCCAATCTCAAATATGCCGAATTTTCGAAAGTATCTGCTCTCGTATAAAAATTTTATATCTCGTTAACGATCCTACGGGATCGCCGTTGGTACAGAAATGATCACCGTCGAAAAAAAAAATTTTTTTTGTGTCTGTCCGTTCTCCGTTCTGGTCTTTTGGTTTTTCTTGAATAACTTTCGAACCGTGACGGACCTATTGAAAATGGGGGGGCTGGGGGGTCGGGAATTATTTAAAAAAAAAAATCGCCTGGGCAAGGGTCTACAAAGAAGACCACTTTTCAAAAACCGTGTGAAAAAAACCAGAAGACGCAGAGGAAATGATTCCATAAACTTTTATTCTTGACAATTTTTCAAAAATATACAGGGTGCGCCGCAAATTCAAAAAAACTAAAAAATGGGTCCCCCTATTGTTGAAAATTGGCAATAATTTCAAATCTGTGTTTTAGATATCAGTTTCTTTTACATGACGATATAGCCCATATAGACAGCTTAAACTTTTATATTTACGGTTTTTAAGTAACAGGGTGTTCGCGATATTCCGTGCAATAATAAAAAAACATAATAAGAACTGTAAATTTGCAGCTACCGACTTCAGACTTGGGAGAGAAGTTGAAGTCTGGACCCGCATATAGACTCTTTAAATTGGGAGCAATAAATAATAATAATAATAATAATGCGAAGTATTTTTTTTATTTTTTTTTTTGCGGTTATATTGGCAACTAGAAAAACAGCTTTTCCTCTAAAGCCATTCATCTGATCGGAAAAATTTTGCATCTGTAATACGTGGGAGACCCGGCGCTATAACTTTTGTTTCACGCATTTTTTCGATTATATACAAGGTGTTCCAGTTATAGACAAAAACCTAAAAGGCCCTGACAATTGTTCTTTTAGAGAGTAAATCATTAACCGTAAATCAAAATTGGTACGTACAATAGCTAATCCGTTTAAACAGTGTTGTAGGCCGTATCAAGGGCTACAATTTTTGTATTTACGGTTTTCGTGTATCACATACGCTGTTCGAGATATTTGAAATAATCAAAATGAAAATCACTATATTTCTAGACGCGATGACGTCATTTAATATTACCACTTATTTGCGTGTTTTGAGAATACAAGTAGTTTACTCCATTGGAAACATTCGGATACCAGGAAACTCAGGAGATCCAGGGCTATATCCTCTATTTCGAACATCGTTGGAATTATATACAGGGTACGTCGTTTGTGGGCAAAAAAATTCTAATAGATCCTAGAAATTTTCCGGTTTTGTGGGTGAATTATTGGCGATACGTGAAAAACTTTTTATGTGATGTGATAATTTGATACGAACAGTATTTGATACGAACAGTGTCGAGAGAGAGTTTGAGGTTTCGTCTATAATACAGGGGTCGCAAGATATTTGAAAAAATATAATTTTAAATTGCAATTACCAGTATAAGTAAAGTATAAGTAAAATTGCATACAAAAGTATGCTTTAGTGTAAAATTTCTTTTAGAACGAAAGGAACAATAAGCTGTGATTTTTTATATTATATATTAAATGATCTCTAATATAAGGACTGTCACTTAATAAAGTATGTCTATTTAAATGTACCAAATATTAATTTGAGAATACGGAACCAACAACATTGAGTACTGATTTAGGTAGTGCGATGATGCTATCATATCAGGTTCTTAATGAGGTCCGTATAGATCTTTTTAGTATGATGCTAAACTAGTTAAATATATTTTTTTTTAAGTTATATGTAAGTTTTATGATTTAACATTTCGGTGTATCTTTCGACATCGCATGTAATTTACTAATTCTTTGCGCCGCCCCCGCCCTCGCTCTAACCACGGATCTGTTTTCAGCAACGATGAGTGCCACCTCGAGCGCGGACTTTTCGACCCTGTTCGACGTCGGCGCGGTGGTGGGGGCGGTGGTGGCGGGCGTAATCAGTGACAAGAGCGACATGCCCGCTACTACGTGCGTGTGCATGCTGGCGCTGGCCGCCCCCGCGGTAAGCGTTTCGACGTTCGCGAGGGGAGGCGCGTCCACTCCCTCATCTCATTGCAGATAATCGCGTATCAGAATCTGGGCGGCGCAGGTATCGGAGTAAATATGTTGATGCTGCTGGTGGTGGGGGTGTTGGTCAACGGTCCCTACGCGTTGATCACGACCGCCGTTTCGGCGGATTTGGGCACCCATCACTGTCTGGAGGGCAACTCGAAAGCGTTGGCCACGGTCACCGCCATCATCGACGGTACCGGATCCATAGGTGAGAGTCGACACGCACACATATGTGGTTTTTGCTAAGGCTCATTTCACACAGTAACGCACACTTTTTATTAAATTTAGTTTGAATAATCGCACCTAATAATATAAACATTGGGCGGTACTTAAGAACATGGGTATGGTCTGTTCATAGATATAAGGAAGTGACTAATTCAGGTAATATTGTGGCCCGTAATAAGAAATAATTTTACACCTACCTGTGTTTAATATTCTTTGGTTTGATATACTACTTAGTTTAAGTTTATTAGTAATCATTCTTATTTCGTGTGTAAAACAGAGTGGGTTATGCGAAATATGTGCGAGTCTAGTGTATCTCAGGAGATGCTCCCGCCCAAATGTAGAAAACACTATTCTATTGAAACCAAGGAAGTTATAAACAATGTTTATTTGATTATCATTGAACGTGGTGCCAGCATCTTTGGGAGAAACGGGCACATTGACGAAAATTCCCACATCAACTGTATGGAAAATTGTCAATAATTCCATTTCAGCGAGGAAAAAAAGAAGCGATGCAGACATTTTCTCGAGTGTAGATGAAAGTTATCGAGATATAATACGGCGTAAAATATACCAGTTATACGAGGAACAAAGCGTGCCTACATTAGATATCTTAATCAGGAGGCTTGAAAAAGATGAAACCGGTGTTAAATGTTGGATTTAAAAAAATTGCCAAAAGGCAAGTTTTAATGGAATCTTTTAGAATTCGGAAATGGCGACTGGAATATCTGGAAAAAATTAGGATTTACAGAGAACAACAAAGGCCAATTATTTACTTGGATGAAACCTGGTTCGACACTTATGATACCCCGGAAAAGGGTTGGGTTGACTCAACTGATAAGTGTAAAACAAACGCGAAAAGAATAACTATTTTGCATGCTGGCTCTAAAGATGGTTGGATTCCAAATGGACTTTCTCTGTCTGCAAAAAATATTAAAGATTCTTCTCTGGATTATCACCGCTGATTTATTTGAAAGTCGGTTTAAAAAAAAATGTCCTCGAACTTCTAGAATCCGAAGTTTTTCACATCCCTCCACAAAGTTGGGCAAATTCTGTTAAATATATAAAAAAAAGGGAACAATCGTATATCCATATTGCAAATAATATAGAACAAATAATAATTAGAACAGGCGATGATAGCGATAGTGATACTGATATATTATGTGAATAATTTTAAGTAATTTAAGTAGGTAATAAAAATAATTTGTAATTTCATTTTAGATTTAAACATGAATACATACAGAAATAAATAAATATTGTTTAGTATCTTTCCTAACAAAACCCCAAATAATTTAATTTTAAGCAAGTACGGACCTGTTTGGCCATATTTCATTCTTACAGCTTGTCCGGGTCAGTTAGTCACTTTCTTATATCTATGAACAGACTTTACCATCCAATTATTTCCTTTACTTTAACTGAACTAAAAAAATATTTCCTTGGGTTGTAGTGCACAAAGGGCTTTTTTTTTCGCCTATTTTGTGTGACTATTTCCTGTACCTACTATGTTTCGGCAATGACGCACAAATATTGGGCATTTTTTTTTTAATTCTTAATTAAGAATTCTCTATAAATCCGCAATATACCATATTTTGTGCAATTTCGAATGCCTGTTTTTGCGAAGAATTTCAAATGTCATAATTTAAAAAAAAAACTAATTAAAATTTGGGATTTTCCGAGATTTTTTTTTTGTATTTGAACGATATTTATTATGTGGGATGCTTCTGAAAAATCGAAGCAACTTTTCCAAAGAAAGAATTTATAACAAATGCCATTATGACAGGTAATTTTGAGCACCATAATAGATATAAAAAGAATATATATATTGTCAAAAGACAAAAATATTGTTATAAAACTATGCGTACTCTTAAAACATCGCTTATAAGAGGAGCAAATATGAGAATGTAATTTTTTGATGTGGGTAACTATTGAAAAAAAACAAACCTCATTGAGTAGTTTGATGTAGCCCGTATTGGATTTTTCTAACAAAAAACCAAAACCAAATCGAAAACTATTAAGTTTGTCAATTTAAGAAACACGTTTTATGTCACTCTGAAGTATTACTCAAAACCTTGACATTACAAACACTAACAGACAGCAGAAAAAAAATTGGAATTAGAAAATCAAAGTTAGCATGACAACAGTACTATTGAATTGTATTGTTTGGAGCTGTTCAAGTGAGTAGAAGGTACAGTCGTTTACCTTGTTTTATTTATTTTTTTTATTAAACAATTTTGCTGCATGATATCCCACTCCATTCTGACATTTATCTAGTCCAGGGGTCTCCAAACTACGGCCCGCGGGCCACATCCGGCCCGCGAACAGATTTTGTCCGGCCCGCGGAGAGCTTGTATACTTGAAAGAAAAATCTACTACGGACTTTAGTCCTATTTGCAGCCTTTTTTAAACGTGACGTACTTTTTCGGACTTTTTTTTGCAAGTAAAACTTTACACATTCGTTACTTGAGTACTCTTTAGGAACCGAAGTAACAATTACTAAAGAATAAATTAATCAATGATTACTTGTGTATTTTATTATTTTTGGAATCAATGATTACTATGCCGATACGATATGGGTACCCCATTATAACGGTAACCCATACGATACAGATAATATATCAGACTTCCCCATCGTTAGAGGCATCTGACAAAAAATTAACTTCCTTTTACATCATCAGCGGACTGATTCAACTTTTTATCACCGGCGACAATTAATGATAATATTGTTTTGGCCCTTAGAGTTTCTTGGCGTGATCAATATGGCCCTAAGGCTGAAAAGTTCGGAGACCCCTGATCTAGTCCATGGAAATTATGTTGCAGTTGTATTGGAGAAAATAACATAAGCAAAATATATTTACATTAGCATCTTCAAAATCCTATTGTCACCAAAGACTTGACATAAAGTTTCTTGAAGGTGCGGCGGTGGGTCCCCTGCTAGCTGGTTTCCTCTCGAGCCACGGCTGGCACACCGTTTTCTACATGCTGATGTTGTCGGACGTGTGCGCTTTAATCCTGCTACTGCGGTTGGTGAAGCGCGAGCTGGTCGCTTTCGGGGCGCGGCGGACATTCGTCTGGAGGGGTTTTTCCGCCGCCCACGAGAGAGAGTGTTAAGCATTTTGTTACCTTCCGAACTAGGTTTATGCCTATGGTGATTTTTCTATAGTATTGTTTACAGATCGCTGCTACCTCTGTATATAAATATTGTAAATTGTTTTATTCGCGTGAAAAGACAGGCCCGGGCGACATTCCTTAAAGAACGCGGGACGTTCTCATCACCCGCGCGGGTGAGAAACCTAAAACGCGCATTCGGTTTACTTGTAATATAGCAGAAATTACAATTTATATTTTACCGATGGCACCTATTATTTATCCCACGGCAGACATTATTTAGTAACCGACTAGTTTCCTTACACTCTATAAACTCCTTAGTGAATCCGAGGCTTCAATATTGATTTAACTGCGCAACTGTAGTTTTAGTGCAGAAATCAATGTTCACGCGCATGAATTACTAAGTCAAATTAATTTTCCCCACCGTTATTGAACTATAAAGCTTAGTGATCTATCTCAGTTGCAAAATTACGATTGTCGAGGCAGTGGCAGGTAGTATCTGTGCCTGTCAGTAGCAAACTAACCAAAACACCACTTTTAAAATGAAGGAAATCTTTTTCTAGGAGGGAATAAAGACAGCGGATTATGAAAAATGGAGCAAGTGTGCTCGAAATAAAGGAAAGAATGTGAGAACCTGATAGCAGGAAACAAATTTATAAAATGTGTGTTTTAATGAACCCGTCTTGCCTAAGAGTATTCAAGGAAAGCCTTACAGTGCTAAATAAATTTATTATTATATATATGAGGGGGTACCCATAAAAAACCGGAATTGAATTGCCGCGCGCAGAGCTTGAATAGTACACCTTTCTGCCGCTAGGTTGCGGATAGTACAACTTATTGCGAGTTCAACGCCACCTTCGTTTTAAATTTAACTTGTTTTAACCGTTTTTTTCGATGGCAAGTTTAAAAGAACAACGTGCAGCTGTGAAATTTTGTTTTCTGCTCGGTAAAAGTGCTGCTGAAACTGTTTCAATGTTAAAAACAGCTTATAAAGACGATGCGATGGGAAAAACTCAAGTGTACCAGTGGTTTGTTCGCTTCAAAAATGGCGACGAGTCAACTAATGACCGACCTCGTTCTGGACGTCCATCAACTGCTCGAATCGGCGAAAATATTGAAAATATTCGAGAGTTTGTTCTCACAGTACGTCGACAGACAATTGAACAATTATCAAAGATTTGTTCCTCGTGTTCTGACTGACATGCAAAAAGAACATCTAGTTGAAACATGTCGTGCTTTGAATCAACAGCTTGAAACGGATCCAGATTTTGTTTCAAGGATCATTACTGGTGACGAGTCATGGTGCTATGGTTACGATCCAGAAACGAAGCAACAGTCCAGCCAATGGAAGACGTCCCTGTCTCCCCGTCCAAAATAATGTCAGGTCAAATCAAACATCAAAACGATGCTGATTTGCTTTGCGGCGTAGTTCATCCAGAGTTCGTTCCACCAGGTGATACCGTTAATCAAGCTTTTTATCTGGAAGTTTTAAGATTGCGCAACAGTATTCGACAAAAAAGACCCGATTTGTGGCGGACATTTGTGTTAAGCAGTTTTTGGCTAAAAATGGCATGGTCCCTCTGCCCCATGCACCTTACTCGCTCCGTGTGACTTCCTCTTATTTCTACGTATAAAAACAGACATGAAAGGACAGAGATTTGACAATATTGAAAAGGTCAAGAAAAAAACGAGGGATGAGCTGTCGGCTATAGCCAAAGATGAATATAAAAAATGTTTCGAACAGGGGACAAATGTATTAGTTGTAATGGAGAGTATTTTGAAGGGGATAAGGTCGTTCTGTGATTTTCAAAACAATATATTTATAAAAAATGATTCCGGTTTTTTTTGGGTACCCCTCGTATATATACCTACCTTCATATTATTCTTACTTCTATATAATTATTATCATTTATATTCATTTATTATTTTAATAAACTACTTGTTGTGACCCGGCTTTCATAGCACCTTGAATATATACGAAATTAGTATGACCCATTTATGAAGGACTGGAGGTACGTAATTCTTAAAAACTGGAATATTGCAATTTATTTGAACTTCACAATATGACCTTTAAGTTGTCCACCCTGTTTAATGATCCATGCCATTGCAAATTTACGTTCTATTATGCTCTGGTAATAAGAAACAAGGTATTGCAAATTTTATTGAATTGCATTCGCAATGAGATAAATTTGGATGCACACAGGTTAAGAAATGATATATAATTTTCTGCCTAGTTGATCTTGTGGTATTATTCTGTTATATTTTTAGTCCTAAAGTTAGTTACCAATAAAAATTCAATTTCAACATAGAGTTTTAGTATTTTATTGTAGAAAGGTTATACTTCTTCTGCCTACTTTGTCTGGTGGGCATAATTCTGTCTTATTTTGGGAATTTCCTGTTTGGAAATAAATCCTTAAAAACTGGAGAGTTCTCGAAGACTGAAGACCATCCATTTCAATTACTATGCTAGTTTTTAAATTAATACATATTTACAAAACATCAAAATTGTTGTTCTGCTAAACTAAGCTAGGCTAAGGTGTTCCTAATGGTATAATAAAAGAAATTTTATCCGCAAACTCTCCCCAATTGGACCGATTCACCTGAAATACTGCAACCCAAGATACCAACAAAACAAAACACAGTAGCGAGCCCATTGCGGAATATATAACATCTGAAAAAAAAAACTGCTAGGTAGTGAAACTACAACAAGAACCTGATAACTAACATCGGCGAATTTGCTTTTGTTCGTTGTATTCGGGCCTTCTAAACGCTTCGTTGAAAAACCAAATGGCGTTGACCGTCCAAACGAAGGGCAATAAAGCAAACCCAACTAAAAAGTCCAACAATATGAATACATAACAAACAAAACTTCTACATCCAATGTTACCTCGAAAATACCACCTGCATAAGTTCAGCTTTTTGTCGTCAGGCACTTTAGATAAATCCATGGTAGTAGTTTGAATGCAGTGACTAAAACTTGTTGGTTTTCATCGACATAATATTACAATTATGCTATACACGAAAGTATTGAATTAAACAAATGTCAACTTTTGACAAAACTAACATTGGCGTACAGAGTCCTCTAGTTTAGACACGAGATTTGTCAAGTCAGTTGCAGCGACCTTTTCTGGCGCGACGGTGGCGCCACCACTGGTTTTGGTCACGCATTTGATGGATTTCTAATAACACAAATATTTAATAAAAGCCTGTTATACTTTCGACCATGCAATAAATTCGCAATCAACGAAATTAATGTCTCTATATTACCGAAATAGACAAACAACTTAAACAATCACCAGAGCAACGCAATTAGGTGGAAAAATAAATTATGCAGGGAAAAAATGCTGACCTAACAATTCAATATTCTGATTCATTACAGATTTCTGCATTTTTTTTTATATTTCAAATTACAAAATATTCTCATTTAGAAATAAGGTTTTAGTCATCAGCAATCACAGACACTCAAACAGCTAGACCACTCTCCTAACTTCAAAGAATCTCTTTAAGTAATACACCTGACCCACAGTCATCGCAGAAAGAATAAAAGCTTCAAAAAATGACCACATAACCACTCTTGAATTGGTACTCTCATTGATACTTCTGTGAATTCTGTCCCTGACAGCCATATATTCCTGTTCTTGCTTCACAGAAGTCAAAGATCCTACAACATTAACCAGGACTTAAACTGGTCCTGATTGTTAAATTACAGAGCCAACCTGACAATTCCTTAATCATTTCTTCAAGCTTGTTGGTGTTTTGGGCATCTGGCTCCTCCTTCACAGGTTCACCGACAACCATGTCAAACATCACCACTTTGGGTGTCATTGTGGACATTTTATTGGAAAAGCAATATGTGTAGGTACCGGGTGCGTGAGCTGCTAGTGTATATTTTCCAGAAGTCTGTCTCTCCTCTTCATAAAGCACTTTTTGGTCCGGTCCTATAATTCTCACATCGATATCCAGAAACCCGCCCTCGGCTATTTGAAAACTGAGACCTTCAAAGAATTACCCAACGATTAAACCCTCAAATGGGGTATGCGACTTCGCAAGTATTTACCCAATTTTGTACCATCTTCCACCTTCTCAAAGAAACACTCTTCAGCGTGTGCGTCAACCGTAATTATGTAGGCCAGATTCCCTTTAAAAGCAAAGGTGATAAAAAAAAATACAACTGACAAAATTCCCTTCATTTTAAAGTTAAAATGTTGTTCAAAACCTCCACGTATTTAACCTCTATTTTATAACGCTGACATGTAACACAAAAAACAACTTTTTGTAAGTATATGAAAGAGATCTTCACAACACCCTGGCGGTGAGAGGCGAAATTACTGGCGGATTTTCGTTGACGGAGCTGCCGACATCTAGTAGTTAAAGTTGTGATGGCTTTTTAGTTTAATTAAATATTCCTAGATTTTGCATAATATAATTGTACTTTTGCTTGTTAGAACAACTCTTGTTAATTTAAGTGGTTTTTAATTATAAATCGGTTTTTCCCAATTTCTTTCATATTTGTATAAAAGGAGAAATGACGTACAAATGGCTAGGCAACCAGAGATGCGTTCATGAAATCTTCCCCGTGGTAATTTGTAATGGCATGCGCAGACGCGTAGACGGTTAAATGGCACTGTGTGCGAGAAGTTTATGTGAGTGATTGTTTATAACTTTTCTGGAGAAATAATGTTAAATAACCGTTTACCATTTGAAATTGTGATAATCCTCGGCGCGGTTAAGTGAGTTTATCTTCAATTAGGCCAGGCTTGCGTTAACCTGTTTTTATTCCGGTACCAAACAGTTTGTTTTGTCTACGTGAATTTTAGTGTGTCAATAATGGCCGCCTGAGAAATTTGACAATATGCTTTTGTCGTTAGTTTTCCGGTAAAGGGCGTCGATTCCAATTGCGGAATCGATTTTTTAAGCAAAATTTTTAATCGTAATTAAACCATGGCCGACAGTAATCAGAGATGCCCCAAGTAAGTATCGCCGGTAGAGGCTATTGTGCAATGGTGGTGGAAATCCTTGAACTTGATTTTCTATTTACAGAATTATGGTATTCCGGCCTACTTGGGAGGAATTCAAAGACTTTGCCTCGTACGTGAAACACATGGAATCCAAAGGTGCACATAAAGCTGGCCTAGCCAAGGTAAGTTTGAAGAGGGTTTCAGATAAAATATCTTTTCCCATAATTGATACAACCAGTGTTTTATTAAACAATACTAATCGAATTCAGGTAATACCGCCTCCAGAATGGGTGCCTCGCAAATCTGGCTACAATGTTGATGATTTGAATGTAACAATACCCGCGCCAATCTGCCAGGTGGTAACTGGGAAACAGGGTTTGTACCAGCAAATTAACATACAAAAAAAGGCAATGACGGTAAAGCAGTACCGGGAACTGGCGAATAGCGAGCGTTACGCCACCCCCAAGCATTTCGATTATGAGGATTTGGAACGCAAGTATTGGAAAAATATAACATACGTGGCCCCCATTTATGGAGCAGACGTGTCTGGGAGTTTGACAGATGACGACGTGGATGTAAGATTGGGCATTTTTTATTCGCGGGTCGTTCAAGTTGTCGCGTTTCAGGAGTGGAACATCAATAGGTTGGGCACGATTTTGGATTATGTCAACGAGGACTACGGGATATCCATCGAGGGCGTAAATACTGCTTACTTGTATTTCGGCATGTGGAAAACGACGTTTGCCTGGCATACAGAGGACATGGACTTGTATTCAATTAATTTCTTGCATTTTGGCGCCCCAAAAACTTGGTGAGTCTACAATTAAAGGTGAGTCGGCGCCCGGCACACAAAACGTAATGGAATTCCGCGTTTAGGTACGCCATTCCGCCAGAACACGGCCGCAGATTGGAACGGCTGGCCAACGGCTTTTTCCCAGGCTCCTACAAGACGTGTCAGGCGTTTCTGCGGCACAAAATGACCCTCATATCTCCTCAAATTCTAAAGCAATATTCCATTCCATACAATAAGGTACGTGGAATTGTTTTTGGCCCCATCGAAGCTGAGGCACTCCTTTTTTTTTTTATATATAGATTACCCAAGAGGCAGGGGAAATAATGATCACGTTCCCGTACGGGTACCACGCGGGCTTCAACCACGGCTTCAATTGCGCCGAGTCGACAAATTTCGCGTGCGAACGCTGGGTCGAGTATGGCAAACGGGCCTCGCACTGCACCTGCAGCAAGGACATGGTCAAAATTTCTATGGACACGTTTGTTAAGAGGTTCCAACCGGACCGGTACGACAAGTGGCTGAAAGGCGAGGACATCGGGCCTCATCCCGAGGAACCGGACCGCAAAGTCGCGGCGCCTCTGCCTCTTCCGCAAGACATACTCTGCAACAAGAACAACACGACGCTGCCGCAGAGCTTTCTCGATGCTCCATTCAAGAAGAAGCGGGGCGGTCGGATGATGTCGTCCACCTACGGGCAGTGAGTGTTTTCGGTTTTCCGGTGTCCGGGCATCGGCCCTAAACGTTTCGGTTCTTTCATGTCGTGCAGTTTGTCCGAGTTTCCGACCGATCTGCAGCTCGAGCTTATGGAGGAGGACAATCTGCCTTTTGGCGACGAAATCCAGCCCGACGAGCAGCAGCTTGAAGTGCTCGAAGACATCTGGCTCAAGGCGGGAGAAATCGGTAAGCTGCTGGCGTAAGCTGTTTCTCTTATTTATTTGTTTATTTATTCATTGTCCATTTATCCATATACCGATGCCAAACTATTAACTACATGAAAAATTAAGATTAGCGCCAAACAGGTTAAATGATGTGAAATCAGATAAACCAAAGTTATAATTTTTATATAATTTGATTTATCAGTGACACCGACCCCTTATATTAGAAAACAATTCCAGTTCACTAAACTCATTACAGGGGCCGAGGTAGGTGATAGAGATTTGGAAGAATCCCTTCTGCACACAAGAAAAAATTTAATGTCTGCATGTCCTTTACATAATTTTGTTACCAATGCTGCCACCATTATTTTTTATGTTCTTTTTTATTGATATATTGGTATTTATTTATTTTATTTACTTATTTGAATGTTTCTATAGAAAATGCAATAAATAACTAGCTGCAAGAGTAAAATTTCTACTACATAAATTGACTAAATATCTCACCCACCTACAGATTTTCTGTTAGAATCATTGGAAGAGGGGTCTCATGTTAATGCCATTTCCACAGACTTCTCAAAGGAGTAAATCATCAATCATCATTAAGCATTGCACTTTATATTATCTTTTCCAAATTACTGGAAATCAAGCTTCATTACCCCTATCCGGCGATAACTCGCAAGTCAACAATTACAGGCCCATCGGTATCCTGAGCTGTATTCCAAAAGTTTCTGAAAGGTTGCTTTATGGAACAACAATTTGGATTTCTCCCCCATCACTTTACTGAGGCAAACATTTCATAGAGTAAATCATCAAATCTTAATCAAAAAAATGGGAAACATTGGATTGCAGGGAAAACTTTTGGAATGGTAACCATTGCACCTTACTGAAAGAGATTGTGGGCGTCCAGCGCTTCCATTCCACCGAAAGGATCCCTACTTGTCAATGTCTATGTGAATTCATCACGCATTTTTTCTATTATTTGTATTATTCGGTGACAACCTAAAATTCTATACAAGAGTCCGAAATGCTGATGACTGGATAAAATTCCAGTCCGATTTAGATCGCCTAATGCTATGGTACGATTTTAATGGAATGGAACTAAATATTAATAAGTGCCAGCTGATGAACTTCAACGGGAGCTTAACATAAAAGGGTCACCATTATTGCAGGCCTCCGTAATAAGGGATCTCGGAGTGTTACTCGATATTAAATTTTATCTCAATCACTTCAGTTTTTGGGGCTTTATTAAGCGTTGTACAGTGGACTTCTAGAGTATTCTCTCTGGTCCACATACAGGCCACAGAGAGAGTGCACTCCTTCCAAATGGAGTTCCATCATACTAACTATGGGACTAACTTTTCTCACTAGATCAGCCGCACCAGCAAATTGCTTTCCCACCGCTTCCGGAGTGCAAAGATATTTAAGAGACAACTAAAAGACTGTCAGTGAAACTGTTCCGTTGTCTCACTTCTAAATAGAATTGTTCTATCTGTTCTTACTTGTGTTCTTGGAAAACCAGTGTTTTCATACTAGGGTTGGGTCTTTATCTATCTATTTCATTCCGTTTTATTTTATTTTATTTTGTTTTTTACTATGTGAATCTTATTTTATATTGAGCGGTTGGCCCGTGTGCAATAGTTTTAGCCACTAAATGATTTTGTAAATTTTTGAAAATGAATTACAGTCTGCAAGTATTAAGCAGAGACTACAGAGAGTTGAGTCTCAATGTTCAATGGAGATTTCTTTTGCTAATTGGCAAACTACAATCTACACCCAAGCTTTTTATAGACAGTTCTGGTTTGATATTCACCTAGTTTGTCTTTTATATCTGAATAAAATTATCTCTTCTCAAAGTGCCATATCCATTCAATGAAGATCGGTAACAATTATGGCAAATTCTTCTCTATTTTGCGCTTTTCTTAGTAATGCGTGCTTAACCGAACCAGAAAAGTCTCGGATATTCTTCCGCCAATAGCATTGTCGACGGCCGGGAATCGCGTTTTCCCTCGATCTTGCCTTTCATCGTGAGTTGCATCTTTTCGCATCTAGGAAATTTGTTTTTACCATTGCGATATGTGCTGCCCAAATATCCGAAGTTCGAGACTCTTGCTCTCGATGTTCCATCTGCAGTTATGTTCGTGCGTTGGTTTTGATTACGATTTATAACCATAACCTTTGTCCGTTTTGTATATATCTTAATGCCCTTCAGAGCTGTCACAACTTTTGACGTACAATTTTGAATGAAATCGTGGTGCGTGGTTATTGAAGTACTGAGCGAAACGGCGTTTACAGAGGCGGAGGACGCGACCATATGCGACGCCGGCTACAACGTCAAACGGAACAAGAAGTATTTCCAGAAGAAGCGCAAGAGTGGCTCCAAAGACAAAGAGGACGCCAAGCGCAAGTACAAGAGGCGGGAACTGCTGAAGGACCCCAACGTGAGTTTTCGACGTTTTACAGCGTCGCGCGTTTCATTTTCACATTTCATGGGCAGTATAATCATTCGAAGCACAAGCCGGCCAAGAAGCAGTGCGGTAAGATCGTAGCCATGGAGGGACGGTCGGAAGTCGGAACTGACAGACGCTCGCCCGACACCGCCGCCTTGGTGCAGTCGTTGCTCGCCAAGGAGACCGACATGCTGCTGTCGCCGAAGAAGAAGAAGCATAAGAGCAAAGATAAGGAGAAGCACAGACATCGCGACAGTGAGTTTTTTTTTTTTTTTTTGCTCGTTTTACAATAATGATGCGTTCCCCATCGCCAGAACACCACAAGCACCGTCCGCGGGACGAAGCCGCCCCCGCGGCCCAGACGGAGGCGACTCCGGCCGCCGAACCCGATCCGGAGAACGAGGCGATCAAGAACCAAATCGAAAGTATCATACGGGCCGCCAACGAGGAGTTCGAGCGCGGCCTCAACCCCCCAAAACCGCCGTCCCCCGTGCCGGTGGCGGTTCCGCCGCCTCCGCCGCACGGTGCTCCAGTTATACGGTAAAAATGGCCCGAACACGATATAATTTCGAAATAATTTACTACCTTATGAATCTTCAGACATTTTTAATACTAAAATATCCGAAAATATTATTATTAATAAGTCTAATGGCAAAAGGATGACTAAAGATGCGTAAAGGTCTCTATTTGCGACGCAGCCGATGCACCCGTTTTCAGGTCCAGCAGTAAAAAGATTCTCGAAAAGTGTCGATTCCGAAATTGAAAATTTCGTTTTTAAGTGAGCCAAGATACATGTGCCTCTAGATGAGGTTTAATTCTTGCAAACGCGAGAAACGCATTGTATTACAGCTCTCACGGGAATCTAACTCGAAGCAGTTTCTTGAGTTATTTATGTAACATTATGTGTGGGATTAGTGCCTACTATAAGAAGCCTGTTAAAACATTTATTCGAAACAAGACTAAAATGTTAAAACATTTTATGGGCACCAACAAGGGGTTTGCTTACATCGTTATAATAATAATAGCGCTTTATTTCCAACAGGTAACATGACCCAATTACAGAAAATATTAAATATAAATCATCCAATATATATATATATATATATATATATATATATATATATATATATATATATATATATATATATATCTTCTTCTTAGTCGTTTGCTCGGTTTCGAGCATCGTGAGTTCATAGATTGCTTTCTGTGGTGAGCTTCCATTCCTGTCTGTTTTCTGCCATCCTGAATGACTGGCAGAGGTTTTTGCCGGTAAGGTTCTTTATAAGATCCGTGTATCTTGTGGGCGACCTTCCTCTTGATCTTTTGCCGTGTACCGTTCCTTCCAGTGTGAGTCTTTCAAGGCCATTTCTTCTAACCACATGACCGAAGAATTTTGCAATTTTCTCTGCGACAACGATACTCAATCTCTTCCTAAATCCAAGTTGTTGTAGGATGGATTGGTTGGTTCTTCTCTCGGTCCAGGACACTCTTAGCATTCGTCGCCAGCAAAACATTTCAAATGCATCTATCTTCCTTTTATCATTCATTTTCAGCGTCCAGCATTCTGATCCATAGAGAAAGACTGAGAACACTACACTTTTGACCAATCTTATTTTAGTGTTAAGGGATATTTGATGGCTTTTCCACACTATAGTTAGTTTGGTCATGGATTCTTTCGCTATGGCAGTTCTTCTTTTTATTTCTTCGCTAGATCCGCCCATGTTCGATATTGTGGTGCCAAGATATATGAAGGTATCAACTGTCTCGATGTTATTTATCTGTTTTACTTCAGGTCTGTTGTTATTTTGGCGATCAATTATCATTATTTTGGTTTTCTTCTTATTTATTTGTAGACCCACTTCGTTGCTCGTCGCTTCAACTCTACGTATGAGACTGATCAATTCTTCTTCTGACGCAGCGATTAGTGTCGTATCATCGGCGTAGCGTAGGTTACAGATTTTGATGCCATCAATGGTGATTCCTCCCTGCCATTCATCGAGCGCCTTCCTCATAATCCACTCGCCATAAATATTAAAGAGTAGTGGGCTTAGTATGCAGCCCTGTCTCACCCCTTTACCCACTCTAAATGGGTTGGTTAGTTCTCCATCTACTCTGACATAGGCTGTATTGTTGTCGTATAACTTTTGAATTAACGATATTAGATGGCCAGGTGTGCCCATTACATTTAGAATCGTCCATAAGTTTTGCCTTCGTACACAATCAAAAGCTTTAGAGTAATCTATGAAGCATAAGTAGGTAGGCACATTGAATTCTCTTGATTTTTCAATTATTTGTTAGGTTTAGTATCTGCTCTCTAGTTCCGCGTCCCGGGACAAAGCCGGCTTGCTCTGGTGGTAGTTGTGGAAGTAGGAAAGGCTTTATACGTTCTGATATTATGTGTAACATGACCTTGCTAGCGTGTGAGATTGTCCTATAATTATCGCAGATGTCCTTCGGTCCCTTCTTGTGTATTGGCACATAGACCGATTTCGTCCAATCATCGGGCCAAATACCGGTGTCCCATATCATTTGACAGATCCTATGAAACAATTCCACTCCTGTTTCCTCAAGTGCAGTTAGCATTTCAGCAACAATGCCATCCTCTCCAGGCGACTTGTTGGACTTCAGCTTGGTAATTGCTGTCCTTACTTCTTCTTTCAGTATGGGAGGTTCTTTTCCATTGTATGTGCTTTTTTCTGTGTCATTGTTTGAGTTTCCAGTGTCTTCCATTAATTTTTCGCAGTAGTCCTTCCATCTTTCCTTTATCTCTGCTTTGTCTGTTATTAATTTACCAGCTTCGGATCTTATCGCCCAGAATTTTGAGTTGAACGTGCGTGTAATGTGCTTGATTTTGTTAAACAGGTCTTTTGATTCGTTGTTGTGCGAATGTTGCTCAGCTTCGGCGCATATATCGTTTAGGTACTTGTTTTTGTCTTTTCTACACTGGTGTTTGATATCTTGGTTGAGCCTGCTATATTGTTCTCTATCTTCATGTCTGTGTAAGCCCGTGGCCTTGAGTTGTTTCAGCGATTCAATCTTCTTCCAGGTTTCTTCTGCAATCCATGCTTTCCTCTTCTGTTTCACAGAAGCTTCAGTTTGTGATGCCACTTTTAGCAGTGCAGTTTTTGTTTTGTTCCACAATGAGTTAGAGTCATCGTCTGATTGCGTATGTGAATTTATTTTGGAGATTTCTGCTTTAGCCTTTGATCTGAAATTTTCATTATGTTTAAGGCCCGACCAATTCCTAAAGGTTTTATTAGGCTGCGATCTGCTTAATTTTATGCGGAGCTCTGCTGCGAGAAACTGATGGTCACTGTGACAGTCCTTTCCTGGGTAAGTCCTGGTATTCCTTACTGAAGTCCTCCATCTGGATTTTACTAAGATGTAGTCTATCTGGTTTTTATGTAGGCCTCCAGGTGAGGTCCAGGTGTATAGTCGTCTTGGATGATGTTCGTACCCCGTGTTTGTGATGAAAAAGTTGTTCTCAGTGCAGAATTGCAGCAGTCTTTCTCCTCTAACATTTCTTTTTCCCAGAACGTATTTGCCGATAATTTTGTTTAGATGTTCATCTGCAGGTTCTCTTCCAACTTTGGCATTATAGTCGCCTATTAGCATCGTGATTTCTCGATTTGGTAGAGTCTCTAGTAGCTGTTCTAATTGGGCGTAGCATTCTTCTACCTCATCATCTGGTGCTTCGCTGGTTGGAAAATACACTTGTACAATATTCAGCTTCACAGGACGCGCGTTAAATCTGATCAAGATGATTCTATCATTGATTGCTCTGTATTCTGTTATGGAGTTTTCAAGTGTCCTGTTTATTACTATGGCCACGCCGTTTCTAGATGTGTCCTCGTTGCCTGAATAAAAAACGATGTTATTGTTTCTGGATATGAAGTGTCCTGAGCCCTTCCAATGCGTTTCTGCTAAGCCCACTATGCTATGACTGCTTATTTCTTTCTCTACTATGGCGAACTTTCCGGCTTCTAGCAGTCCGCGAACGTTCCAGGTGGCTATCTTTAAACTTTTCCATATGTTCATTCCAGTAGCCCGTTTTCCATGTGATGCCTGGTTTCCTACACGCACATGGCCAGTCGCCCATTTCACACCACTAGGCCCGGACCCTGAGTGGCGCCAATTGCTAGTTGGATCACTCGGCAATACACATCCCGTAATACTCATCAAATCATCAATATCATGAATTTTCCTGGGGGGATATATGACGCAGTGGGGCCCCTGGTCCTTCTATATATATATATATATATACAGGGTTTTTCACTTAAAACTCCACACGCCAATAACTCCAAAACGAAAAGAAATATTTAATTTATGTAAAAAGTAGTCAAAGTGTGGGGTCAAGTAGATATTTCCTAAAGTTTAAAAAATTCGACGCCTGCAAAGAGCTGGGCGTCGCGACGCGTCGAAAAATTATTCGATTGCAGAGACTTTGGAAATACGCGCATACAAGAGTACATATTATTTAAAAACTTTTTTGTTATTTACTCAAACTTATTTACTTTACCCGTTTCTAAGTTATACCGATTTAAAGTAAACATTTCTTGATTAATAAAAAATGTGATTAACGCTTATTTTTACAAGTATGCCATGAATGTTAGTTACTATGGCAACCATTGTTATCGCAGTTGTTTTAAGTGCAATTACAAACGTAAGTTGTTATTGCTGTACCAAAAAATTGTCACATTTTGTCACAAGAAATATCCAAATTTGTTCGGTTTAAAAAAAACTAAGAATTATTATGTGAAAATGGTGCAATTTAGCAATGAGGAAAAAGTAGACATGTTACTGGTGTTTGGAGAATGCAGATGCAATTGTAGAGAAGCAAAAAGAGTTTACGCACGGCGTTATCCGCATAGAAGAGTCCCCGATGCAAAAACCTTTTCAAGTTTATGTAAAAACTTAAGAGAATATGGCAGCTTCATAAAACCTAAAAAAAATAGGAACAGGACGGCTACAAATGATGAAAATACTGCTGCTGTAATTCAGCAGGTTGATAATAACCCCAAGATATCCCTATCAGAGATAAAAGAAAATACCGGTGTTACCATAAGTTCTTCGTGGAGAATTCTACATAGAAACTCTTTTCACCCGTACAAAAGTAAACAAAAAGAAAGCGACGAAAGTCGATTTCAAAATAATGGAATCGTTAATAGACACAACTGTCGTTTTTGGTCCGAAAACCATCCTCGTTGGATTACAGAAAGAAGTAACCAACGAATTTTTAGTATCAATGTTTGGTGCGGCATATTAAATGGATTCCTTATTGGACCTTACTTTTACGAAGGAACTTTAAATGCAGATCGCTATTTAAGATTTCTTCAAACTACACTTCCGGAACTATTAGAAGAAGTGCCTCTTGACACTAGAATGAATATGTGGCTACAGCAGGATGGAGCGCCTGCACATATATTTGAACCGAGAATATCCCAATAGATGGTTTGGTACTAATGGACCGGTAAAGTGGCCGGCGAGGTCCCCGGACATTACACCACCAGATTATTTTCTTTGGGGCTACCTAAAAAACGTTATCTATGAAGAACCTATCGAAGATATGGCGGATCTCATTAACAAAATTAGTGCAGCGTGTGCCGCTATCACAAGAAGGACTCTCCTGCAAGTGACCCAAGCTCATCTGTTAAAAGTTTTTGATAGTTGTGTTCGAGCAGATGGACATAATTTTGAACAAAATTTTCGAAATGTCTTATTATGTAGTTAATTGCAATAATAATTTTGGTTATTAACTTGTAGGTATTTTACTGTTTTTTCATTTATTTATCATGTTATCAGAACTAAATCGATAAAAAATAAATAAAATCATACTAAAATAGTTGAAATCTATTGTTTGTAATTGCACTTAAAACAACTGCGATAACAATGGTTGCCATAGTAACTAACATTCATGGCATACTTGTAAAAATGTTTACTTTAAATCGGTATAACTTAGAAACGGGTAAAGTAAATAAGTTTGAGTAAATAACAAAAAAGTTTTTAAATAATATGTACTTTTGTATGCGCGTATTTCCAAAGTCTCTGCAATCGAATAATTGTTCGACGCGTCGCGACGCCCAGCTCTTTGCAGGCGTCGAATTTTTTAAACTTTAGGAAATATCTACTTGACCCCACACTTTGACTACTTTTTACATAAATTAAATATTTCTTTTCGTTTTGGACTTATTGGCGTGCGGAGTTTTAAGTGAAAAACCCTGTGTATATATATATATATATATATATATATATATATATATATATATATATATATATATATATATATATATATATATACTAACCTTATAACTAAAAAAAAATGAAGAAGGATAGAATGAGAAAGAGAAAGAAAATGATAAGACTTATCGGTACGGATAACCCGAAGCCAATCGAAGTTGCCGAAGTATGGCCCGGAGACCATCATAATATAAGTCGCAGTACGATGATATTTTGTTGAAGGTAGCACACATATTGTAAATAGGGTTTTGAAAATGGATATTGGACCTGGGTAACTGCGGTAAGAAAGTCGATTGATGTCTCCCTTCCAGCCGCGGCACGGACAATCGACTCCGTAATGAACTAAGTTATAGAGAAATGAAACAGATTGCAAGTATAGCGAACGTTCTTAGTAGAAGATCGTGGTCAACTCCCCTCTCAGGATAGGAACCGTCCTCCCTGAACGTTAGATACTTTAGTAACCTTCTCTACGCACTCTCAATAGACTGAGTGTGGCAGTTATAAATTGGTGACGATATCAGCGAGCCATAGTCAAGCTTGGACCTAACGTAACAGTTAAATAATAATTTAACAGTAGCTGAGCTACAAAAATGCCTCCGATTTCTTATTACGAATCCTAAAATTTGCATTGCACTGGAAACCATTTTAGTAATATGAGGTACAAAAAAAAAAATCCCCAGATCCTTCACAGTGGCAAGTCTAGTCAGGACAGTACCATCCATATTGTAATTAAAGACTATGGGAGTTTTTGTGCGGTGGTAAGAAACCACATTACACTTGCTGATGTTAAGATGCAATTTATTTTTAGTTCACCACTGACTGATAATATTGATATTGTCCTGTTTCAATGCATTCGTGTAGCTTTAGGCATAGGCAAGCTTGTTGCAGATGATCAAAGATACGAGATCATCTATAAATATATTGAAAAGAAGAGGTCCAAGGTTAGAACCTTGAGGCACGCCAGAAGTTGGAACAAAAGGAACCGATCTAAACCCCTCATTCTCAACAAACTGTCGACGATTCACCAAATAGAGAAACCAAATTTATGAGATGCTTTTTCAATCAATAAGTGATGATCTATCTGGTCAAACGCTTTGTGAAAGTCAGTGTATATAACGTCAACTTGACCTTGCTTGTTCGGAGGGTCACGGACGTACGAAGACGGAGCATAAGTTGGTGATACATGATCTTAAATAAATTTATTTAATATAATCTCGGATATTTTAGAAAAATTGCACAAGATCGAAATAGGTCGGTAATTTTCAACTACAGAGGGATAACCATTTTTGAGAATAGGATAAATGTTGACATATTTCCAAGGCTTCGGATAAACACCCGTTTCAAGTATCACTTTAAAAACGTGAATTGAACTGAGGTGGCTTTTACTTGATGAAAATCCATTTATCAAAATAAATAAGAACTAAAAGTTCAGATTTTCACGAAATTATATATTATCACATGACAATTGTTCCGACAACACCGTGTCTTTATCAAATGTAATATCTACAAACTACCTGCTACTATATATATCGAAAAATGACCTTAAAACCTTAATTAATGTTGTAGCGAAAATTTAAGTTCAATAAAGGAGAGGCATTTAAACCTAATTGATCGTTAAGCAATACATTTGAATGTCTCATTTTGTTAACCTCCATGGCTTCCAAGAAATTAAATTTTCTACTTTTTGTGGCTGTGTGTAATATATCAAAATTGTCGTCAAAAATGTGTTTTTCTGTGTTTAAGTGTGTAGCATAATTAGAATCTAGACTATTGTTTTTAAACGCTCTTATATGTTCGTTAATGCGTTTCTTGAAGGATCTACTTGTTTGTCCACTATAATTTTTAGGACAAGATGCACTATTCAACCTGTAGACACCTGATTTTTGGGATTTTGGACATTTCGATTTATTGTTTTTTAAATATTTTCCTATTGTGTTGTTAGTTCTGAAAGCTATTTTTAAACCACATTTTGACAAATGTTTTGAAACTTTTTCGCTAGGTTCTCCTTTAAGTAAAAGTTTTTTATGGTGGTATATATATGTGGACGATATCTTTGCTTGCTTTGTTGGAACGGACAGACAATTGAATTCTTTTTTAAATTACATTAACTCAATACATAATCGTATGAAATTCACTATCGAGATTGAACACGATTACTCTATTAATTTTTTAGACTTAACTATTACGAAAGTGCAAAACAGATTAGATTTTTCAATATATCATAAACCTTCACATACGGACCCAGTCATACATACAGTTATACACACAAAATGGCTGCATTTAACTCTTTTATACACAGACTTCTTAATACGCCACTCTCAATAGAAAATTACAACAAAGAACTTATAGATAAAATTATAAATAAAAAACAAATACAGACAACATTAAACTCTATTTATCCGAAACCAAATATAGAACACGAACAATTTAAAACAATTACATACTTAGGAGACCCTAGCGAAAAAGCTTCAAAACATTTGTCAAAATGTGGTTTAAAAACTAACCAAAACTAACAACTCAATAGGAAAATATTTAAAAAACAATAAATCGAAATGTCCAAAATCCCAAAAATCAGGTGTCTACAGGTTAAAATGTGGATCTTGTCCTAAAATTTATATTGGACAAACAGGTAGATCCTTCAAGCAATGCATTAACGAACATATAAGAGCGTTTAAAAGTAATAGTCTAAATTCTAATTATGCTACACAGTTAAACACAGAAAAACACATTTTTGACGACAATTTTGATATATTACACACAGCCACAAAAAGTTGAAAATTTAATTTATTGGAAGCCATGGAGATCAACAAAATGAGACATTCAGATGTGTTGCTTAACGATCAATTAGATTTAAATACCTCTCCTTTACTAAACTTAAATTCTCGCAACAACATTAATTAAGGTTTTATGGTCATTTTTCGGTATATATAGTAGCAGGTAGTTTGTAAATATTAAATTTAATAAAGACACGGTGTTGTCGAAACAATTGTCATGTCATAATATATAATTTCGTGAAAATCTGAACTTTTAGTTGTTATTTATTTTAAAAACATGACATAAAGGAGAACACAGTGCGTGGGAACAGTCTCCCACGATAAAACTGAGTATGCCATCAGGACCAGCGGTAATTTTGTTCTTGAGCGCTTTGCTTGCTGACAAGACATCCTGGATAGTAAGCTTAGGTATGTTCACTAGTTCCGGATTAAAGGACACGCTTGAAAATGAACATGGATCTGGCTGGGATATGGTGTAAACCATATTAGGCCCATGGCAATATGGTTTTCTTATTTCGAGTTTTAGTTTCTTATTTGGTTATCTTTTGTTGCAGTAAAAGTGATGACGCATTTAATTTTTTTTTGTTTGAAAATAAATTATGTTTGTATTGATGCCGCAAAACGCTTGCTAGCGGAGATTCAAGCATTCTCAATCAATCCGCTCAAGACAGCATCGAAGAGCCGTTTTCAGCGACCACAATTTTGACAAAATCCTTTAGTCATTTTGAAGTTATTGATATTTATTTCGGAAAATATTGGGACACCCTCCACCGCTTTCCCTTTTAGCGATAGGGCAAAAATTATTTAAAGAAGAGAATCGAATTTATTCGACCTTAAAAACATTTTAGCCACTTGTAATATAAGATTATTTCTCAAAAAACAGTACTGAAAAAACTGAAATGGTCACCAGGGGGCGCAATCGCCGCTCTCTTAATTGGCCCCACCCGCGACGTAGTAAATCCATTTCTACATAACATTTTTATAATACCTATAGATGACGGTATTGAAAAGAAAAATATTTTTGACCTGTGCAACGCTTCTTCTGAAAGGGGTTGGCAAAAACTTATTATGTTTTTAATATTGTCCACAGCGTGGAGCACCGCGCGACGCCCGAGGTCAAGAAATCCGTCATGACCGGCACCCATCGCAAACTGAATGGCATGGGCTTCGCCAACGCGTTCCTCGACTTTTTGCAGACCAAGCGGTCGACGCCCGATTCGAGCGTCAAGAAGAAGAGCCTGAAACACCTGAGGATCGCGCGAGTCGACGGCACCGTCAAGATGCAGAAAGTGGGCGTGGTCACTCCACCTAACGGGCGCGTTGTCGTCAACGGTGTCGTCAAAGCGACCGAAGCCCCGCCGGAGAAGCCGGCCGCCCCTTCAACCGTCGTGGCCCCGGTGCCGCCGCCGCCCCCGACTCCTTCAGAACGTAACGTAGTTCGGTAAGGATGCGGCGCACAGTAGTGGGTTATTTGATATTCTGATCGTAATGGTTTTTTAACTATATTATCTTTTAAAAAGGATAATATATTCGGTAACACGGAAATGGGAGTTGAAAAAGTGTGCTGGCCCCGATTGGTTGCAAAACAAATAGTGACAGCTGTTAAGGTTACATATTAGACTGTGCTGCGACCGGAGTATCATTAAATGGACGAATGGAAAACATTTTTGAGTTGCTTCAATAAACCAGCCAGAGCGTAGCATGTTTCAAACTAGATTTTTCTGAATTGAAAAATAAAGTGGACGCCCTTGGGACGGAAAATATTAAGCTTAAACAAAAAAAAATCATTTCAAGATGAAATATTAAAGAAAAAAAATATTCTTGTGTTTGGACTTTCTGAGGAAGAGAAAGTGTATCGCTAAAAGAAGTTTTGCTAGACGTTTTCAATAATAGGCTGGGAGTTAGCATGAAAATTGGTGATCTGGATGATTTCTTTACAATTAGTGAAAAGAAACATGGGAAATGTAGACCAAAGTCAACTAAGTAACAATATGTACTTTAAAATGGCGACAAATTGAAAAATTCTGGCATAAGTAATTGTTAACAAACGATCTCTTTTCTGTAATGCAAGTCCATCCCCTTCTACAATTACAAAGTATTCGAAGGAAGATTAGTTTGAAGATGATGTACACGACGACTTTAGAGTGTTTGAGGAAAAATCTGGAATAGATACCTTAAAGCAGCGAGTTGTAGGGGCGGGAGAGGAGGGTGGACCATCGACCGCTGACAGAAAAATAAGAGATAGACAGGGGAGCAGAGATCAACCTTTGGCATTGAAACCTTCGATTGGAAGAGGACAGTTCATTCCCTCGGTGCCACCTTTTATTGCTTGTTTATTTATTTATTTATTTATTTTTGTGTTGTCGTAAAGCTGGCTCACTTAAATGTTCGATCAAAAGTTTTAAAAAGAGACTCAAGAATCAGTTGTTGCCAGAGAGTAACATTCCGTAATTATATAACAACGTTGTTTTTCTTTAGTATTATCGATACGGTTTTGTATATATTATTTTTGTTTCGGTTAGGTTAAGCTTAAAAACGTCGATTTGAGCTGGGTTTCACATTTTCACCATTTAATGCAATTGTTTTCCATTGTTTCTTTTTTTTTCGTTTGTAGTTTATGATGAATAAACACCTTAATAATTATAATAATGTTAATAATAATAATAATAATTTGATATTTGAAAAATAGACTTTGAGTGCATTTTTTTTAAATCCGGTACATTTGAGTTTTTAAGAATGCTTGATTCAATAATTAAATTGATTATAATGCATATATATGAATTTTCTTATTTCAAACGAAAAAGGTGCGTTTTTATTTAAATGGTGATTTATATTTGTCTCTATTTGGAAAACTAAACAAAAACATATTCTTTTTATTTAAAATAAAAAGATTGGCATTTATCAATGGGCATATGACCGCTGTTAGTTGTCACAATCAATGTTACATGATTATCTTTTACCATTCATTACTTTGACCGAAGACGAAAACATATTTTCCTTTGGTATCCAGTTATTAGAATGTCCAGTAGTTAGTCCAGACCTAAATCCTATAGAGAACGTCTGGGGGATATTAACGAGGAAATTATACGATCAGAAAAAACCAAAAATAAATAATGTTAATGAAATCAAACAACGACTGTGATCAACATGGGAATTAGTGGATAGCTTGTCTAAAAGACTAATAAAAGTTATAAAAAATAAAGGCTGGATGAAATGTTAGGGCAATAATTGTATATTAAATAAAAAATAATTAATATATGACACTTTTATTTGTGTATACTATTTATGTCCATAAAAAAAAGATTCAATTGGTTTTTAATATGACTTATTCTCAGGCCTTTAAGAGTATTATTTAAATAAAATAAAATTGTATCGTCGGTACAGTGACATTTTTAATTCTAACTGAAAGGTACCAGCCGCAACCGCAGCCGTTCCAAACCGTTCTCTACGATCAAGTCGAAAGGAACCCGCCTAGGCAGCAGCAGCAGCAGCAGAAACAAATAACCGTCGCCTATCCCGCGGAGAACACCGTCACTTTGTATTCGGCGCCGGAGGAAATCCCGACGAAACTGTCGCTCCAGGTGACGGAGTCACCGGTGGTACAGCGGGTGGCGTCCGCGCCAAACCTCCTCCTGGTTAATCCGCAGCGGACGAGTTTCTACAGCGTCAATCCGGTGCAGCAGTACGTGCTGCCGCCGGGGGTGACGTTGAACCCCTGCCCCACCGCCCGCAAACCGAACAACATATGGGGCGGCACCGACTACTACAGGGTGAACGCGTGTCCGGAAACGGTCTACGACCACGCGGACCGCTTCTTTCCGATGACGAGTCGGCCAATACGATTGACCGACGACGACGATCCGGCCGTCAAGCGTCCGCCGCACGGCCTGGACACCGACGAAGGCGAGGACGTCGAGCTGACCAGGGCGCTGCTGGAAGACGTGCAGTCTGAGGTGGTCATCGAGGGGCTGGAGGATATGCCGACACTCGTCGTCGAAGACAAAACGGCCGTGGAAGTGCTGCAAGAAGAGGTGGTGGAGTGCGCGGAGCAAATCGATACGGACGAGTGGACCGACAGCTTGCTCGTCGCCGTGCAGGATGCGGCCGAAGAACTGTATTGTGCGCGTCCCGCAAAGGAAGAGACGCCGGGACCCAAAGTGGTGGTAGAAGTCGCCGGACCGGATCCGGGCGCCAATCTTGCCGGTTTGAGCGTTAGCGATGTCGATGACCGTTACAATTCGGCGGGGTCCACATGCTCGTGCTGCTCGTCGACGACGTCAGAAGACGAGAAGGAAGAAGCGCCGCCTCCGGCGGTCGCCGCGACGCGACCGACGAAACCGAATCGGATGCGGACACTCAAAATGGGCGCGAACAAAGTGCACCCGATGACGAACCGCGGCGGCATCCTTGCCGACGATTTTCACCGCTTCCAGAAGGCAAAAATGCGCGAACTGCAATCCGGCGCGACGTCCAATTTCTTCGCCAAGTCGCGGTCCAAGTCCCCGCGGACCGCGCGCCGCGGCAACATCGGCTCCAGGATGCTTTCCCTGTTCAAGAAGACGAAACAGAAGGGCGGCAAAATGGATGAGCCGAAGAGGGACGGCCGCAATCTGCGGATCATCAAGGATCTGCTCAAGTTGTACCGCGACAGGGTGGCGGCGTCCAAGACCTCCCGGACCTTTCCCGCCGACTCGAACGTCCCTCTGAGCGCCCGTTTGGAACGTAAGAGGGCAAAACTGACGCCGATCGAGCTCAGGTGAGAGACCTCTTTTTAGTATTATTATTATTAAGAAGGGGTGATTCACGTCGAGTGTCCTGTTTAGGAGTGCCGGAGAATTAAATAGATTCCTTTTTTAAAAAATTTGCAGCGTTGCCAACTCGACCCGAAAAAGTTCACACACATGTAGATTTTCTATTTCTATCTCTCTCCCATTTGGAGACAAACACCATTTTATTATAACTTTTTTGCGTGTAAGTAAGCTAGCTATTTCAATTTTTTTTTTGCGGGGTTTGTTAGTAAAATAAATACGCCACCCTACATACAGGGTATCGCAAAAATTTACATTTCTAAAAAACCTACATAATTGACAATACCGGTGCGCAGTCCATTAAACTCCCAATACCCATTTCTTACATTCAAGTAAATAAAGATTGTGTCTCGTTTGAAAAACCCGCGTCTTAAAATAATATAAATAAATAAAATATAGAAAATGAGGGAACCTACCTGGATAAATAATTTAAAATGAATGATGAATAATATCTATTCACTCAAGTGTGAGAACGGTTTTCGATGGGTACGAGATTATTAATATTCTTATTTCTTATTATTATGAATTATTGAACTTTGTTAATGTCAAAAAACAATTTACCTTGACGATTTTATTTAGAGATGTAAATTTTTGAACTATCCTGTATGACTTTCCGTAAAACTTCAGTGACTGTAAAATTTTCAAATACTTAATTCACTTACAAAAAATGACACTAAGCGTTGATAAAGCGGTGTTTTTCTACAAAAAAAAAAGTAAAGTTATATTTTTCGAAGTAAGGTAACGCGATAGCCATAACCGGAAACGCGTCAATGGCGTTCTAATTGAATTTATAACGTTGTCATCTGTTTCGAGTACGATCGGCAACGCTGCGGGCGCGTAAATATTCCACTATGACCAAACACCAAATTTGAAAAAAAAAAAAAGCGGCGTCAACGTTTTCCCGACTTCGTCATAGAGTGGAAATGGACGACGTGATGCAGCGCTTCAGCAAAGATACGCGCGAGCGTCTCCGAGCGGGCGGCACCCTGGCCGACGTGGCGTCGTTGCCTTGGGCTCGGAGCCGGAAACGCAAAAGCGACAAGAACGGCGGGGGGCGCACGTCCAAAGGGCCCCGGGTGCCGATCGCGACGGGCGACGTGGTGTGGGCGCGGCACCGCAACGGCCGCTACTACCAGGCGACGGTTAGCCGCGTCAAGGAGAACTACAAGTACGCCGTGTACTTTTACGCGGACCGTAGCTTCTCGAAGGACATCAGCCTGGATCACCTGGTGGGTTGGGACCCGCGCGAGAAGGTGACCACGGGGCGCAAGGTGCGCATCCGGTGGAGCGACGGACAGACATACGACGCGGAGTGTATGGGTCAGACGGAGGATTTTCTGTATACGGTGAGAGGGTTGGTCGGTCGTGCGTCGAACGAGACGTGTTAGGTATCGAGTCAAATATTGGGGCATCGTAATCAATCAGAACCTAAAATGGACAGCTCGGGTATTCTACGTTGCAGGAAAAAATTATTACATTAAATTATAGGTCGCTACTTAGGTAAGGGATAGTAGAATGGTATACCAGAATATTAAGATAATTAATTTGACAGGTTTCGGTTTAGATGTTGCTTTTTAACGGCAATATTTTCTCAAGATATCGGCAAATCTCGTTAAATGTGTTTGGGTATAGCTGATTAGAAAGAAAGTGTCGTAATATGATTCCCATCTCTTATAACAATTTAATTTTAACAATTGCATTTTGTATTACTTGACATCTTTAAAAAAATTTACCTCCGCTCTTTTTAAAGTTTCATTTCCATCGCCCGCTTAGGAAATAACCATTTAAATAATCATTTTTATTTTACCACATCCCAGATGTGGTAAAATAAAAATAAATAAAATAAAATAAATAAAAATAAATAAATTATAAATAATAATAATAAAACTAACTTGGTGACGGTACATCAATAGCAATGATAATTAGTACTAAGAAAATGAAAGACATGCTTATGGAGACGCATTTCAAATATTTTATATAGATTATTACCGTCCGACCCACATCGTAGTGGCCCTTGGCTATTAGTATCTGGAAAAGGTCAACGTATGGGCTGCTATTTTAAGAAACCGAACCATGATGGGGAACAAATAAATATAGCTGTTCAGGATCTTAATATTCCTGTTCATAAAATTTGGTAAAGTTAAGATGGTTGCCTCACACATAACGCTAGGAGAGCTTAAATTTTTCTGAATGCCACGTTTCCTAATCGCATAAAAAGTGGACAGGGAACAATCAAATGTTGATGATGCGATGATTTTTTTCTTTGGGGTCACTAGCACTATTTACAAGGACACACACGGTCATGCAAATTATTTGGAAGATTCATATTTTGCGCAGCTAAAAATGGTAGATTATGTTAACCTTTTGCAAAATATGTATTTTTTTGTTTTGGTTTTATTTTTATAATTTCGTTTTTATTTTTCGTGTCGGGTGGGCAGCAATGATTTTATTAAACATATTCTGTAAATCAACGCGTGCGAAAGAAATCTGTACCTTTCGTAAGAATGAAGTTATACTAAAAACTAATCCCTCACTAAAACGGAACTGCCTACAGTAGGAGGAGCCTTATATTATTGGAACCAAGGAGACGTTTGGCAATACAGCAAAATATTCGCATCTCACTTCGATGCTTTTAAAATCTCCGTTTAACTTTATATTATTTTTTAATTTTAATGTGAATTTATTCTTTCCTGAAGTGTAAAGGGTTTTAAAGTATTTATTTCACTTTTTTGTTTTATTATTATTTTTATCATTTTGAATGTCGATAAAATATTAATTGAAAATAATTATCCCTTGCAAAAATACCATCCGCTTTTTTATGGCTTCATTAATTAGCTTATAATATTTGCATTCTTGTAATTTTCATTTACTTTTAGCATACGAAACGAATTTTTAGCATGTGTTATACAAACCATATCCTATCCAGTAAGTAGTTTTTATCGAAGGAATTACTCTATTTGTAATCCATGCATAGTCTATAGTCCAAACTTGGACGTAGGTTTAATTATTACGTTAAAAAAATTAAATGGCATAAGTAGATTCCCGTTTCCAGGTGTCGTTCGAGGACCTGAGCCGGCTCGAGCTGCACCGGAATAACGTGTACGCGTTAGACGAGAGCATCCCGAAACGGATCGCGACCAAACTGGTGAGTGCGTCTCGGTGTCGTTGTTTTTGGTAGGATTGTTGTTTGTTTTTGCACGCCAAAATGACGACCCTTCTTTAACGGCAAACGTTTCGTTAGCGTCGGTTTTTCTAGTCTTACGCGTCGGACATGCGCAACAGGGAGCACCTGTACGAGTTGGAGCGGCCTTTGCCGCAGAAGCGGCCCGTCAAGAAAAAGGGCCGCGACGGTTAGGGCGCGCGTCCCGACGCTCCGAAAGACTGACGATCGGCGGGCCGGCCGATACTCGTGATTACGTTTCCAAGTATTTCCTCCCCACTTTGCGTTATCCTTTTGATTGTTTGTGTCACGTGTGATATAAAAATAATAATGATACGTTATTTGTATTTATTTCGGTAAAATGTTAATAACGCAAATCTGTAAGATAGATATACTTAATACCTAGCTAGATATTTAATAAAAGCGTTTCAGTTCCGTGGCCCACATTTTTATTTGCGTCCCCCGCAGTCCTCTACGTTCTAAGTGTCGAGAATGTAGAAATTTTTGAGATGAGATTGAGTATTCGCGAATTTATTCTCTGCATAAGCGACAATTAATGGCTCTGTTATCCGTTTTTGTGGCGGTTAGTGGAAAATGATTTACGACGAATTCCATTCCACTCCATAAGTCCCATTGCTTCCGGTTGTCAAGCTGACTTAAATACATTTTTTAATAAAATTTTTAGATGGATAACTTATTAGGACTATTTTTAAATGTTTCTTGAGTAACATTCAACAGAGCAACTTGTTTGCCAAACATTCCTCATTTTGCCCACGGGTTAGCTTAATAGTTTTTGGCGCCCGTGGTCTCATTAATTGAATTGCCATTGTAAAAATTATAATTACATAAATAAATAAATAACAATACAATTCGCCGTCAAATAACGATCCAATGGTATCGTCGGTTAGGTTAGAATTTCAAGATGCCTGAATAATAGAATTTTTGCAGAAACTTTTTATTTTCTTCTTAATTATTTTTTTTAAATAAAGAAAGATGTGAAGTTTGCGATCTGTGGGGCCGACGAATAGGTTATAAAAAGTCGATGACGAAGAAATATGTCTTCCAATTCCGTTGGTTCTTTCGACATTTTTTACTTGGCAATTAAATGGGAAAATTTAACTCTGAATCGCTCCGGATCAGGTACATTCTAGCGTTTACACCTAAAAACCAACACTCCGTATCTCCGTACGGTACAGCTGATAATGCAGGGATTTTAAATTATGGCCGCTGACAGTACGTTAATTTGACAGATTTTACTCTTCTTATTAGTTGCTCACAATATGCCCAGATTTCGTTGAATGTTCTGGGAAAACAAGCGATGTTTGTGGAGGTCGCTGTTTCGAAAAAAAATTAAGCAAGGTGCAGGTTGGTGGGTGAAAATATGGCCGCTACCGTATTATGTAATAGCTATATAGAGAAACTAACCTCAATACAAGTTGTAATTACACACAAAAATTGGGACGCCCTGTAGACAAAAACGAGTGAATTCCAAATTCGTTTTGAACCTTACTTTTTACTTACTTTTTTGTAAAGTAATTATTTTTCAAAAGTATTTGTCTCATTTAATTTCGGTACCTTCCGAGCGTTATATATCTCTTTGTCCTCTGTCGTTTATTATTCTAAAGGATGTGGAGATATAATGAAATTCGGTTTATGGTCATTGACCATTCTTCCCTTTGTTGTTACATTACCCATGCAATCCAAAAATTATTCATAGAAACAGTTAGAAATTATGTGTTCTTGTAAGGCCCATGCAGATCGTGCAATCCCCGAAAAGGAAACTAAGGAAAAACGGAAATAGACTATAGTTCAATGCCGGCACTGATCACCAAATTGCACGATTTTTTTTTATTGACGGCGTGCAATAAAGCAAACAGATAAAGGAGGTGCGAAAGCAAATATGCAGAACGGGAAACAAACCTATACTGTGTTTTGTGTCCTAGGTAATTATACGAATTTTTCGTTCACTGTTAACACTATCGATTAACAGCACACACTAAAATTTTCAAGTTGTCATAATAATTTTGTATCTACGCATATGGACGATACTTGATTTTAAATACTCAACCGAGTTCCCTCTTTAAATACTCCATTTAAAAATATACTCCACAATTATGCATTTTGTAAATTTAATAATAAAAAAAATTGCCGAAACCAGGGATCGAACCAGGGACCTTTAGATCTTCAGTCTAACGCTCTCCCAACTGAGCTATTTCGGCGCGATGTACGATTTTCCACCGATATTAAACAACTCTTGAAGATTACGTGAGCCATTTGAACAAACTAGTCCCTTCTTGGGGATAAATTTTGTTACTCCACACTCCGACAGTATTAAAAATCAACATAGCGCGGAACAATTACTCCTTCCATACGTACGCAGGCACTTTCGCCATCGACAACCGACTGAATCGGAGGTCGCCTAAAAACGAGGGTAAAAGAATGAAAAGTGGCGGTGGCACCGCTCGTATCATTTTCACCGACGGCCTCTCGTGCGACCGACTCTACTCGATTTTAAACCCGCACCGAGCCGTAATCACCTACTTTGGAATCGAGGTTGGCGGTTTATTGTCGTTTGTTTCGACTTCTTGGATTCGTTTCCGGAGCGACTGTCTCGATGTGACCGCTAGTGCCTGGTGTTTCGCTACAGTGTCGGGACTTTTCATGGGTCAACTTTAGGGTAAGTATTATTATCACCATAGTTTCGGCAGTTGTTTCATAAATTCGTTGACATTCAATATATTTCGGTTTCAGACTGACGTACATTTGAATAATACTATCGAATTAATATGGATACGAGTGTGTCAAACCACGGTCCATATAAAGAATGTGTCTTTATCGTAATTATACCCTTCTAGAATACGAATAATTCTGTTGCAATTCAATTAAGCACGTATAGGTAACTTTCTAAATTTGTAACGGCGCAATGCAGTAATTTAGAACGCTAATGGAATTTGTCGGATTTACAATTATTATTCAAAGTTGTGGCGAATTTCAGCTCCGTTCACTTTTAAGAGTAGCGGAACAGATTAAAGAACAAACCGAATTACGGTACCGGAAATACGATCGAAATTAATTTTTGACGTTGGTCAAGTTGGTTTTAAAATTAAATACGCGAGACGCTCGGCGCTTTTTGCTAAACGAGGAACGGTCAATGCGCCAGCTTCGCGACGAATCATCAATTCTGAACCACTTTAGAAGGCTAATTGCAAGTAATTAGTGCGTTCAAACAATACGGTCAATTAGGATTCAAATACATTTGCCCACCATAAACAGTTGGCTCTGTCCGAGTATAAAACAATGAAAGAAAATAATAAACATTTATAATATTACGCAAAACAATGATTTTATGATTTTGGGTCAATAAATGGGTAAAAATCTTTTTTTTTTTTTAATTTTACGTTGTCCGAAAATTGATTTTTTTGCCGTTTTTAGTTTCGGTAGCTCGGTAGAGGTAATAACAATTTGTTATATCAATAATTTTTTATATTTAATTTTATAGAATTTTTTTTATTGAAGATAGAATATGAAATATAGAGGGTGTTTTAAAAACGATCTTTCAGTTTGATTGGTCAGCGGAATAGAAAAAAATTAATACGCTAAATAAACAATATGTCCGAAAACGCCTCCTTCTGGAGGATGCACTCTGGAAAAGGGGGCTCAAAATTTGTTTTTATTTCTTTTCTTTCTTTAATTGGGTCCTAAAAGTTCCTGCTCATAAATTTTGAACATTTTTTACGGCAGCATCTTCTCAAAAACTTTTTTATGGACATATAAAGTTTTCCATTAAAAAAAAAACTCTAGTTTGAAGTAAAAAAATACTAGAGAATATTGATTATTTCAAACACAAAAATATGAAGTATTTACCCTACAAATTGGTTAGTTTTACGACCACTTTTTTATGTTTGACCTCGTTTAAATGAAAGCAACATTTTGAGCATAGTTCAGTTTGATGTTTATTTTTTTTATGATTGTTCGTGCGAAGAAAAATACACACGGTTAAAACTATTTACTATCGAAGTTCGTAAACTAAGACAAATTTGTAAAAAAATATGTCGAATAATATCAGACATGTATTAAACAAAATTAAAATTATTAGATTAAATTAAGATATTTTAATTGTAATTGAATGCCGAACGGGAAGAAGAGCTGGAAAACTGTTCTTCCTGTTCGACCCAGAAACTGAGCTTTTCTATATAAAATGTTGTGGAAAAGGAAATTTTTACTCACATCTGACTGAATTTGACTACAAGGTTCTAACCAGAAAATGGTGTTTTAAGTTGATACCTGCTAATTTGATGACGTTTTTGTTACGAAAAGTAGAACAAAGGCGGAAAGTTACCGTATGACCCTAAAGTGAGATTTTGTGTTTATATCTGCAAATTTGATGCAGTTTGAATGGACTTTCTGCTAACTGGTCGAGAACACTAGCACGATGACCCTATTTAAAGCGTCACGTTCGGACACGAATTCTTCAATGATATTTTGTTGTCAAAGGATCTTCCGCATGAAATTCGACCTACAACTATTTTAATACGTAAATTTCGAGGATATCGCGTACACTTTCCCGAGGTGTGAATAATGGGTAGCGAATCCATAACTTTCTCGGTTTGAATAAAATAAATAAATGGCCCTCGCAGCGAAACCGATAGTGATAGTTTCTATAGCCGATTAGATATGATAAATCGCCTGACGTACGAGAGCGGCGAGGAAAATATGCAATTATCTGTGCTCCGGTTTCGCTTTGGGAAAATTTTCAGTTAACGAAAGCTGCGCGAGCATCGTATGCGACGGTCGGCACACTTACCTTTGAAATTGTCGCTTATTAATCTCACCCGAAGATCGAATTAATTATTTTGCTTTTCAATTCGCTATTTCCTAAAACAAATATGAAATAAATACTAGAGGATAGAGAAAATATTGGACGATATACAAATGAAACGCCCGGTATATTACTTCATTTTTGGATTTCTGAAAAAGATAATTGATAGATTTCCTAACAGCTAACCCCAATAGTTTCTGAGATTGGTCTGTTCATAGATATAAGAAAGTGGCTTTTGAATGGGATTATCCAAGGGTGGTCATTAACCTACAATGTAACAAGATTATTATTTAAAAGTTTCGGAATTTAAATTTTTTACCTATCTGTGTTTAATATTCTTTGGAATTCACTTTTAGTTCTTATTTATTTTGATAAATGGATTTTCATCAAGTAAAAGCTACATTTTTCGGTATATATAGTAGCAGGTAGTTTGTAAATATTACATTTGATAAAGACACGGTGTTGTCGAAACAAGGTTATTGGTTATTTTTTTGATAGTAGCTATACGGTTCTAGATAGCCTTTATGTTAAAAAGAGTATACCCTAGGGCTTATTTTATTAATCGGGTGCCTTGAATATGAAAATAAATAAACACATAAAACAAAAGAAAATGTGTGCAGTACGTGTCTGTTAATATGTACTGGATGAAAACGTGCCTCACCAGCCCATAATTTCTGTTATGGTTATGGACTAGAACGTTTTTCAGTGGTTTTTTTTTGCAGCAACTAACCAAAACTAACCATTAGTCAAAGTAAAGTTGACTCATATGTCACAAATTTCGATGACGCGCGTGTAATGTTTCGGTAATTATTCGCTTATCCTTCATCAAATTTTCAGTATTTGTCAAACGGGAAAATTGTCCAAATTGTCAAGTGAATTAGCAACAACGTTTGAAATGAAATCGCAAGATGTTGTGACCAGTAAGTCGAGACGTTCGACCTATTCCCCTGTCTAAATTCTACGGGGTTGTAGTAGCCAAGTACGCCGCCGTTGTGGTGATCGTAGTCGCGGGGCTCAGGTTCATAAGAGGTTGAAATTTCCGGAAATGAAGGAGGAAAAGAAAAAGAGCAAATTCGTGACTCTGGTGAAAATCGGCGTGGTGATGGCCGCTGTGTACTACGGATGCAAATTTTATTGTAAAAAGATGTAACTATATACGCGTTTCGGACGTCAATAAATCAGATTTGCACACTAATTTAAATATTTCCTCACCCAGAACGGGAATGTATCGCGTCCAAAAGAAATTAACGAGTTATGTTAATATACAAGACTTTTACGCCTTGCACGGAGAATTTCCTGTTATTTTAAAAACGGAACCGTAATATATTGTCGCGATTATGTAAAGCGATAATCTAACGGAGGTTCAAGCGCGGTATCCCCAATGCACCAGATAAAAAGGACATTTTGACGTAAAGCCTTTAAACCAAGGTCGTCATGTCGACCAAATCTTTGGTTTTAGTATATTAATGTTTCAGTCCTAATTATAGTCGCAACGCAAACGCTCTTAGAGATATTTATTAGTTGAACTGAAATTAATCCGTAATTTCGTTGGTTCACTCCTCTTCACTCAAAGCGTATTCTTTTAATGACAATCTTATGGTCATCGCATGCTACAAATATATTTTTCCATCCTCCACTACTTGAGATAAATTAAACTTGTGAACAAAAAGGTGATTGCTATTAAGATTTAAGATCTCCTCTCAAGAAATCGATGCTTCTACAGCTGGCTGGAATTTAAATCACACCGATTTTTCAAATATGTCTGCCTTGATGAGTATCAGTACGGATTCATAAAAAATAGTAATACTCTGAGCGCTACGATGGATCTTGTAAATCGATTAATGTACATCGTTTGTTAGCGAAATGTTTGTTAGAACAATGTGTTCAAATAAACAATGTTAAAAGTAAAATGCAACAAGTGTACCTCAGGGTTCAATCATGGGACCATTGTTGTATTCGTTAAATGTCTTAAATTTGCAGTGTGCAGGGCTTACAGCACCGGAGAATGATTTACAAGAAATAATACGTTCTGATTTAAAAAAAAAATGGCTTTTGGGTAATAAATTAAAAGTCAATATTGATAAAACTAAATATAATATGTTGTTCAAGCAAAAAAACAAAGTAATACAGATGCTAAGATTAAATATTAAAAATAAAAATATAGAGGATTGGACATTTGTAAAATAGACAAATTGCTTAGGCTAGAACAATCTAAGTTGATGTATAAGGTGATAATTAAAATACAAAAATCTAACATGAAGAGTATATTTAATAAAGACGTTCACATGTAGGGTAAACTTGCCTAAATCGTACTTGCGCGTAAATCGTACCACCTAAATTACTCAGAATTTATAAAACATACAGCGGCATCTGTCGGCGATTACTTGAGTTAGTGCTAAGCTAACCAGCTGTGATGCTCCGAAGCAGTGATTCCTGTGCGAGATGTAATTTTACTGATAAAAGTAAGTTTTTTTCAGTTTTCTTGTAAAATTTTAGCTTTTTTTGTAAGCGTTTTTTTAAGAATTCTATAAACATAAAATTGTGAATCATACGGTTTTCAAAAATTGCATTTCTTTACAATTCATTTGGTTAGCGTTAGTGTAAGTGTATTTGAAGAGGACTTTGAGTATTTTGAAGAGGACTTTGAGCGTAAATCGTACTTTATGATACATCCTAATTCGTACCTTTACAAATTAGGAATACGAAATAAAATTGTTTTCATTTTGGTTTTAGCCAATCAATTTCTGTTTATACATATTTGTTAAGTTTTTAATTTTACCATTTTATGAGAGGAAAAAATAAAAATAATTTTTTTTAGCACACAATGGCAAAACGACTATATAATAAATGGTCTATGC